GTTGCGCTTGTATTAAATACGATTGATGCCTTAAGTTTTAATTCCCTCTGATCAGCAAAATTTTATGAGCATATTTTTTGTTCCTAAAAACGTACAAAATCTGTGGCATAATTATGACTTGAAAGGATTATATTATTTTTATTAACAAGAAATTCATAACATAAAGCGCAATAGCTTGTGAATGACGGCTGCCTACACATTTCCAATACTTATATACATATATGGATATATTATTAATAATTTCCAGTGCTGAATCAGCATCTCATTTAAGATGAGGTTTTCTCACCTATCATACCCATCGTTTTCGGCTTATATATCAACAAAAAAAGGAATTCATTTGTCGTTTCATATTGATTAAAACCCAAACATTCTGTCTGGCAGTCCGGTGAAATAATCCATATTAATGCCTGTAGGTATATAAAGTACAGTGTATTACCAACTAAATAATCATACCGAAGTTCTGGTATTATTTTTTGTCTATTTCGTCAATAAAATGAAATTTTAATTCACATCTTGAAAAAAAAAATATTATGGTATGTATTGTTACACTTTGTGAATCAGGAACAATAATTTAGAACATCTTCTATACATTAATCAAGCAGAATAATAATTAGACACAGGAGAAAGTGTGCGCATTGCATACTGCAAATAATTACACAATGCAGTCATTGTCAGGATAACGCCCACTAATTTGTGTATACATGTACACACCCGTATACATGTACGAGGTTGTTGCCTTTTGATCGGAGCGCAAATACTATTGCAACATTCTTTAGAAGATTTAAGAGGATTAAGTACATGGAAAATAAAGTAAAATATTTCTCTTGAACATAATGCATTTTAATTACATGTATTGCGAAACATCGGTGTCCTTATAAGATAAATATTGACGAAGCGTTAAATTCAGAAACTTGGCTTGTTGCCTGAGGGGTTCAACTTGAGGTCACAAGAGAATTTCCAGGTTATGCAGTGTACAGCTATTGCTTTGTATACAAATAATCGGTCACTTCCTCAAGGACCATATGGTCAAAAACAGTTCAAGTATTATAGCTAGACAAAGCGTGACACCAGTAGCCTATAATTTGCTGTGAACGTAATGTGTACAAAACACAGACAACCCAGTTTCTTTTTTTTTCACCTTCGTTATTATTGTTTTGATACGCTTTCTACAAGAGTACACTGTGGAGAATCTGAATTTTTACATGTATAAAATCAAAATTACTTGTATTTAATTGATTCTTTGTATACTAAGAGAAAAATTAAAAAAAAAACAAACAAACAAAAAACAAAAACAAAAAAAAAACCCACAAAACAAAAACAAACAAAATTCTTACATTCATAGAAAATATAAATTAGGACTGTATTATTTGGCTATTAAAAATTAAATATTATTTAAATAAGCTAATTCATTTACTTTCCTATTTGGTTGATATACCTCCTATAATGTCCGTCTGTCTGTCAGTCTCCTTCGTTTCTGGGCCAAAACTCTGTATGTAGAGAAAAACTAGAAGTTAATAGGCTGCTTTTATTAACTAGGAGTATGCTTCTTGATCTTGAGCCAAGGTCATTGAGACAAGACATTTAGTTTTTTCCTGGTCACAGCAGTGTTTTTCAAAGACTGTTGCAGAAGCTTGGCTGAAAGTTTGCATATGCATATTTTTAGAGGATATGTCATCATCGTATATTACATTATGTACATATGTTCATTGGGGTGTGTGGCGTAGGCACGAAAAGACAGTTTTAGTTTTTTTTCCCCCCCCTTCAAAACATTCTTTTGAAAATCTTGAAAATAGCATTGATATTTGAAATCTACAATTTGAAAATGTTTTAAAAGCGGTTTTGGGGTCATTTAAGGTAGTATTCAATAGATAGGCCAAATTTTTCCTGAAATTCAAATTTTTTGAAACTTTAAAATTTTGTTTTAGGATATAAAATCTCTCTTTATTTGTAATTTGGAAGAAATTCAATCGCACAATTTTTGCCCACATAGCTTGAAATATGGCCCATCAACCCCCTGTAAAAAAAAAATTGAAATCAGACATTGCACTTCAGAATATGCATTTTTTATTTTTAAAAAATTCCGATTGATCTATTGTAAATTTGAGTGATGCTTCTTATAATTACAACCTTTCTGTAACTAAATTTCAGTACATTATATTGATACTGGAATATTTTAGTAATATGTGATACAAAAATAAAACATACATAGCCCAGGAATTGAAAAGTCACAAGTAAGTATGCCACACTTTAAGTTCTCTTAGGAGAAAAATGTATAATTTTAATTTATCAACATCACAATATTTGACCTTTGACCTCTAAATATGACCTTAACCTTTATTGTGTACATGTATAAAGAGTGGAGACTTCTTTTAAATATGTCCAGATATCAGGTCTCTACTAAAAATGGGATCAAAAGTTATTTTGTATTTAATAACAAACAGTCATATTGCATGTAGATGGCATAAACACACTAAAAAATGTAGGCTCTCGAATGACCAATATGGGATTATTTCTCTCTCTCTCTCTCTAATATATATATATATATATATATATATATATATATATATATATATATATATATATATATATATATATATATATATATATATATACACAAAATATGGCGAAAAACCTGTCACAACTTATCAATTTTCGTACAAAGATCATTAATTTAGACATTAAAGTGATATTATCATTTTCTTCTCTGGTATACTTAAAACAGATTACATGGTTGTTTTGTATTACCTTAATTAATAAAGGAGCAAACCTTCGTAAGATTGTCTTGTTGGTTTCAAATATGATTAATACAAAATATTTATCCTTCAATCTATGATAATTATAGTTCTTGAGATATTTATATGACTCAGCATCAGCAATCGCATCATGAGGCATACGCATCTTTGCAAGCCATCGATTTCTATATATATTGTTGTAAAGCTCGGATTGGAAAACCTTGGCTTGCGAAGATGAAGATGAATTTCAATATAGTTCGTCTTCTATCTAAAACTCTGAAGCTACATCATTTCGTCGGAATGGCTGCTAAAATGTGCAACTCGAGACAAATATCACGATTTCTGAAAATTGCAGCAGTATATTGAAATTCTCTCTTCTATCATGAGTAATCGTTTTATATATATGAACCTACGACTCTTCTATTCCAACTAATAGCCCGTGAAAAAGGCCGCGAGGGGGGGGGGGGCAGACAGATGAATTCCTTGTGTCCCCAAATTACTTTCAAATTTAAAAGCCCTACGCTATAAGGGGCAATTTGAAACTCTTCGCAGTATATATATATATATATAGAGAGAGAGAGAGAGAGAGAGAGAGAGGAGCTGGTAAAAATCTAGCATTTAGAAGGTGTCTATATTTCGTCCTCCGCTTTCCATATGCATACATATTAATATTATTTTACAGGCTAAAAAAAATAATAACAGATTCCAGACGACCTTTTCCAGACAAGCCTCTCATATGTTATTTTCCTCTATTAGCAATGGCAAAAACCAATAAACGCTGGCTAGCTTGAAGTTTTCATAAAATAAAATTTTTGCTTTGCTTTTGTTGTTGTTGTTTTTAATAGAAATATTGGTTTAAGTCCCCCCTCCAACTATTGCTTTCCATAACTGTTTGCTCAAAAACGCTTATTATCCATTGACGTTAATCCTAAAATTAACAATAAATATACCAAAACACAATGAATGCTGAAAATATATTCATTTCTTATCAGCTGTTTATCCTAATCGATTTTCTTTATTACTTGGCTTTTCTGAAGTACATACCTGGCAGAAAATGTAATTCATTTACACACCCTCTCAAGTGTACAGATCACCAAATTAATACTACATATATTTGTCGCAGGAACCCCTTACACTCCGGGACAATCAAACATTAGTGTAGACGATGAATTATTTTTAGGGCATATTTACAAGTACTGTACTTTTTTTTTTTTTTTTACCAGTATTGAATTTACGAGTAAACCAACTGCAATCAATATGTCAGATTTAGACAAACCAAATTTCTTTTAATAAATTTTCCCAGACAAACCGCAAAATTCTTGTACTCAACATATATTTACAGACAGTTAATTATATATAGTAAAACCACTGCATTTCTATTTGATGTTATATTCTTAAAAGTGACATTTATATATAGGTCCGATGGGCCGGGTGCTTACATATACATTCCTATTACATGTATATGTTTATATATAGAGTTGTAATTGTATATAACACGTCACCATAATAAACCATTCACTTACTTACTTACAAGCTTACAAGGATCTCCATGCGAAAGGGGGGGGGGGGTTAAACAATCAATCTATTAAAAATATGCACCGTTTGCATCCTCAAGTTCTGTACAGTCGGTATATAACCGCTGTAGGATTTTTTTTTCAAACTTTGAATATGGAATACATGTATATTGTAAAAGTGATTTAGAAATTTAAGGTATATAATGGAAAATTCAAACAGTTTTAATGTATGTGCATGGGAGAGGGGTTTCTTTGTTCTTCTAAGAGTAGAAAATAGGAATGTTAGACACTCTCCTCCAAAAAAATTTAATCGATTGTTAGGTATCTATATTTTTTTTTCGTAAAACGCCTGCAAGTTCTTCGTTCATATTTTGTTCTGTTAAATAAGAATATATGAATTAAGTAAAAAAAAAATTTTTTTTTACCACATCTTGACGTGTTTGGCCTACTTAACCATTAATTTGTTTACATTTCATGAAATTAGTAAGTAATTAATTACCAGAGACATATTGCAAGACTGCAAAATTGACTACTTTATCATTGACATTTCTTTACATTTCTTGTAAATGTTTTTATTGTCGAATTGAAAATATAAGGAATTAATAAATGTAATATTAGAAGTTGTAATTTAAAGTTTCCAAGAGATCAAGTTAAAGGTCGTTTCAGGATAATGACATAAGGTATGTTAATTTAACAGAGTTCGCGAACGGTCATTGACATCTGTCGAAATGGCGAGGTCGTCGCAACGCATGCGCGAATTCCTAATAGACTATACTGTTGAAAAGAAGTGAAACATTTGGGAGATCTCGAGATATTTTGTATAGGATTTAAAGTACAAGAAGCAGTAACAATCTTCAGAAGTGGTAAGATATTTTTTTTTCTTATTTAAGTAGTGTTTATAGAAGAACTAAGTATATTTTTATTTTGTGTTTTTCTTGGAGATGCTATTTTTACCGAGCATTATTCTGCTAGCAGGCTGCCAAAGCCATTTAAATGATTTTCGTCTGCTGGTCGCAGCTGCCAAGATATTCGTGAAAAAAGAAAAAAAACATTTAGGTTACGAAAAGATATAAAACATTTTACAATTTTAACACAAAAATGTACTCATGCTAAAGGGTCAGCACCAGGTCACAACGGAATTCACCTAATCTAAAAATAGATTTGACCATGCATGCACTTTATGCAGTTCCTCGACTTATTAGTAAATCTGATAAATATTGACATCAAGACCAACTTTTATGAGCGGGATAAAGATAAGATGATGTAATAAGTTTATTCACAGTGAATTAATCAGTGTCTGGAATTACCAGTTAAAATACTGTCTATAGCTTCTACCAAAACATTGGATACGTAGAGCTCTGTATCTTATTTCAGATTAAAAAAGAAAAACAATTTCACAACTACCATTTTTTTTATTCATAAGTGGTTAATGTGAATGCCCTGTTTGTCGTAGGTTGATGAGATTTGTGAATTAAATTTGTGGAAATTAATTTATAAGTCATTGGCATTGCTGTCGTCAGCAAAATCAAACTTCATGATATGCAAGATTTTTTAATTGAAGTTTTGTGTGAAAATTCTCTTTTCTGCAATAGTTAATGTAGTTTAAAGTAACCCTTACGTTAATTAAGTACTGTCATAAAAGTTTTTGTTTTATTTATATGTTAATTCTATTTTTATCTAGATATACATTTTCAATTACAAGGCATAACTAATATGATTTGGGAATAAGTTAACTCATATAAATCCGATTCCTTTAATTAACTTGCAATTATAAAGTTTCACAATTGTACTTTTTGCAGAAGAGTAATTAAAAAAAAAAGATTAAAAACATTAAAAAGTAATTGATTTGATAAGTGATTCATTCATTTATTTATTTTATTTTATTAAAAAACAAATAGGTACACATATGCATATTTAAAAAAAAAATGTAACAGCAGGAATTTTCAACTTTCGATTGAGGAAAACAGACAATGTCATAAATTTTGGTAATGAATATACATAATTTTCTTTAGAATGTTGGATCAGTATTTGTCAACAAATTACCAAATTTTATAATATTTGGATGTACAGAATAGTTTTGTAACAATAAAATCATTCCGAATATTGCACATTACGTTCCAGTAAGTAGTGAAATTCATCCCCAATTTGATGAGAAGAAATGTTACTGAAAGAGGACTAAAGTTTGATATATCCATTAATCTCAGAACTGACAATACATACAGACATAAAGCATCTTATGTATTGTACTTCTTTAAAAAAACGTCTAACGAAAAAAATTATTAATTTTGTGATCGTCATAATTTAAATTCAAAATTAAAAATGATATTATATGCATATCAAGTATTAAATTGACGGCTGCGTCTTATAGAGTAAAACTACATCTTAACTACTTTATTATTATTTTAATTTAGACGACTATTAAATTAATTTAATTGTTTTTGTAGAAATGTGTTCGTTGGTGTTACTAACTTTATTTGGCCATTGAAAGCCTATTTTGTATGTCAGGGGAGTTCTGTCTCTCGTAAAAAGAACATTTTTGGGTTTGCGATAGACGTACCGACCGTGTCCTTAACTTGACCCGCACGTAGATCTAATACTGTGTATTCCCAAGATCTGTAGAATTTCCTTCTAAACCTCTCTCTCTCTCTCTCTCTCTCTCTCTCTCTCTCTCTGTGAGTGAAATAAAGAGCGAACCAAAGTGGTAAAAAGGTCAATTCAGGATTTTCCAAAACAGACGATTTCTGGTATGTTTGTGGGTGATTTGAACAAATAATCAGATAAAACGATAAGTGGAACACATCGTCATGCTTACGTTTAAATTGTAAATACAGATGACGTTGACCCCGAATTTTCATTTGCTAATAAAAGTATGTGTGGCTGGGTTCAGCGAGCGGTCACACTCGGGAGCTAGGGTAAATTTGCCTCTTCGTTATCGATTTGAATGTAATTTTCTGCACGTCTTTTTACGAGTAGAAAAAAAATAATAATGTAACTAAAAGAAAGTCAATGCATGTACAAATGTACTTAGGGAAGGAAAAACATCTGAATGTGAAATATACATGTATGTATATAGAAAAGAGTTGATAACTTTGATGAGACTACTTGGGATTCTGGCTTTAGGTATTAGCAGTGAAGATTTGTTCGTATTTATATATTCTTAGTCATGACTACAAGAATAAATTTATAGAGTGGCAAATTTAGAGGGAGCCCGGAAAGGGGGGGGGGCACGGGGGGCTTGGACCCCATTTTTGTAATTAATAAATCAATTTTGATGTTAAATATTTCTTTTATTATACATGTACATAAATTATGACAAAACTGATGAAAAACAAAACTTGGGCTTCACCCCCTCCCTTGCCCCTACCAGTGTCCACTGCGCCCCCAAATCCCTGGCCTGTTGTTCTATCCCCTTTTAAAGAATCTTGGGTAGACCTGCAATTTCTGTGTACTTTCATGTGTTCTCTTTAGAGAAGTGGACAGGCTTTCGCTTTCTACGAAGGCGAAAGCCTGTCCACTTCTCACATTTATGTAAAGTAGTAGCCATTGAAAGAAATCGGGAGATGCGACAACTGGTCACTAGCTTAGTGTAGTGTGAATCACCCGGAAGGACTCCTTATGTGTAAAAAATAATGTGGGCGTCAGCAAAATTTAGATGACAAAGTAGGATTTGTTGCTTGATTTTCGGAGGTTACTGAGGAATTTGAAAAAAAAAATTCACCAATCAAAAACATGATTGCAAATTGTGGGCATGGGTGTGCAGTGACGTCACGCTTGCTTCCGACACTGAGTATACGGCGTTCGGTTACCTCATATGCCCGGTCATAGAACCCCTGCAAACAATCATACAATACTGTTTATCCAATTAATGACTTGTAGAAAACATCTTAAAACGGGAGTGACTAAGCTGCTGGAAAATCTACAAAAGGAAAAAACAAGGAGGAATATTTTCCACGGGAAATGTTTCCCAATACGCTGTAATTAAATGCCCACAATTAGCCATGAAAATAAATCTATATTTTCTACATTACAGTTGACTGGACTCCTAGAATTTAAAGAAATTTTTGTTTAAAACTCTTTTTAAATAATAAATCACCCATGGTGATGAACTTTATGTAACTCTAAACATTTGAAGAGGAACAAAATTCAATGATGAATTTGTATTAATCCGAGATTCCTCTGACTCTAACCCCTGCTTTTATATTTTGACATGTGCAGGGGAGAGACTCTCCCCTGCACATGTTAAAATATAAAAGCAGGGGTTAGAGTCAGAAGAATCTCGGATTAAATTTGTATATGTTGCCATAGCTTCAATTTGTACAATCTCTCTCTCTCATATAATAATAATAATAATAATAATAATAATAATAATCTACAAGCAAAATCTAATCTCATGTTTAGGTTTCTGAAAATAGTGACCGGATTGTTGCTCCTTTTCTTGTAACGGTAAAGCACGACGAAAGAGATATAGATGACCTAGTAAACTTTTGGTCGGGTTCATATGGGGTTACTTGTTTAGTCAATAGAAAATCAATACCTCGACTGGACAGCATTGAGTGTTCAGGTCATCGGGGTGGCAAAGCTGGGGTCAATGTATATATTAAAACATTTTTATTTTTGTTTTACATTTGTGTCTGAAATGTATTACGTGACAAGCGTTCGTGTTCCTCTTTCGGTCTGGATTTAAGCGTCCATATGTTTACTATTTCCTGAAGCAGTGTCTTCTGGGTAAGATACAGAATCAACATTCATTCTGTTAGTTAGTCCAAAATGTAATATCCTGCAATGTAATTTTTTTTTTATAAAATAGTTTATAACTAAAATTTTTGCAAGTGATGATAAATATAGACTTATCGAAAATATTTCAAAATTGAAAAGTCTGGTTCTAAACAGTCAAAACAAAGAGACCAAGCTTTCGGTCACTTCAGGTCACGCGCAAGTTTAGCGGATACGCTTCAGAAATATCCAAATGGCGCAGTTCTTTTGATTTACAAAGAGAGTATTTAAAACAGCTAAGTTTGGATAAGAACATGATAGGCTAATCAATTTTGTTACAAAACTAGTGAAATTATAAGTTTGAAAGTAACGTATGAACTGCATTTAATTGTGTTAACAGAAAATTAACGTGGATTTCAGACCATCGCTTTTAATTGTAACTTCAGATCAATCAAGATAGCCCATTTTTCTTTGAGCTATATGCACACCATACATTATACATGTCCCTTGTCCGATAAGTGACCCATTCTTTAAGTATCAAGATTTCGTGAACCGAATCTACGCGTTGATTGAGCGTCGTTAATTATCGTTGCTTTGTTCTATATTTGTCTATATTCTCAGGTATTTTTAGACCAAGGGCTACAATGAATTCTCAGAAATTCCACTTCATTGGTTTTTGCGTTGTTCCTTTTTTTTTTTAACGGAAATAAGAATAGCGCTTTGGCATTTTTAAGGCTTTTTTGAAAATCATTTCAAATAAGCATATTATTTTTATTAAATAACAAAGAATTACAAGATATTTCCAAAAAATATACCAAGAGTTTATGAATACTGAAAATTTTTTTCCCGTCTTTTACACACCGAGTGAGTATTTGTAGATATTGTGATTTTCAGAGAAAAATAATTGGGAAAAATTGCGCAAAAAAGGTTGCATAAAATTCTACCCAGTCTGCAGCTTAAATTTGATTTTCTCTCATATTATCTTTTAAAAAAAAAATGGACGAGTTCATGTACATTGGAAAACAGGATGTTGAATTCACAGTAAGGAGGCTTTTTAAAACCATGAGTGAAACCATCTTCATGGAAAGTTGGAAACTGCCTTTTGTTAAATTTTGTTTGTATATTGTTTTTTGTTTGTTTTTGTAAAATTCACATAAAGACTGCGAGTATAAAAGATGTTGATGATAAACCTGATCAAACCTATTACATGATCTCTCTCTCTCTTTCTCTAAGTCGTTGTCTCATGTTCACACCTGTTAAAACGGTGATTGATTGTGAAATCAATATACTCACTTGACAGAAATTCTTTTCAACCAAGCCTCATAAACGGTTTGATCGCTGGATGACCCCCATGCTGCTTTAAGACAATACGTTTGAATGCGATGTATATAAAAGTTTGAAGTGTACGCAGAGAAAGAAAAGGTTGCCAACGGTCGATGTCCTTAGTTAAACCATAGACCGCCTCCTCGTACATAATAGTACGTTTTCCTATGAATGTACAAGGCTTGATGCTTACGACCGGTCACACGAGGTGAAAAGTTTACGTGATGCATAAGCTCTTGGCTCTTCTAGTTTTTGCGTATATAAGACACTGTTTATGAGTTTCGTCATACTAATTGACTTGTCAGTTTAACTTTACGCAACGAACAGTGCAGTGAAAATTTTTTTTAGAATCGTTTTGAAGAAAATTTAACAGGATTTCTTTAGTGTTTTGAGATTGAATTTGTTAAAACTTCTTTAACGATGGTATGCTTTAAGAGGTAAATTTAATATTTTTTTAATAAAACAGGAACTCATTGAAAAATATTTTAAAATGTATAAAAAGTAATTTTTTAAGAATAAAATCTCGGAAACGATTTTTATAATACTTCACATTTTGAACGTTGCATTTCATTCAGTTATGATTAAGATATTGATTAGTATATACATGTATGAGATCACGAACAGCATAAATCTGAGATTTTAATGGAATTTATTATTATTATAATCGATTACATGGTTCATATTTCCTAATTTTTGCTTGTGTTATTTTTTAGTTACTTTGCTAAAAGAACCCTTTTATTGGAGAGTTTGACCAAGGCGTTTAACCTTCACAGAACGACATCATGGAGCAACCTCTTGATTTAAGCCAAAACAGTGACTCAAACAAACGAAGTGAATACAACATGGACGTCGAGGAACCAATTTGTCAATACCCAAATTGCTCCTGTCCCCTCAAACACATCACCACGCTGGAGAGCCCCAAACACAGACAAAGTCCCCCCAGGACGGAACATTACATGCCCCACTCCAGCGTCATGGAAGGTCCGTACGACGTACGACATGATGGAATTAACTATGATGGCGGTCTAGGAAAAAGGACATATATGGATGAATGTGCAAACACTAACTTTTACCATCCTAAAAGGCGAAAGATTGAGATGTACAAACAAAGAATCGCCAGATCCACTTCTGAGAACAGCTTGTCGTCTTATGATGATCCCTATTCAACTTTAAACGTTGATTATCAAGGCTACGCTCCTAACGGAAATATACCGTACCCTAGTCAGGAGAAGAATAGCGAATTATTCTGCAAAACCAGATCAATTAATACACCGACCACGATAGCAGGAGAAGAAATGTCCATGGAGGGAATGTATCACCCTACAACGAATGATGACGAATACCGCGAGAGAAGCTACAGCACAAGTCACATTCAAAGATTACCAAAGAAGCGCCAGTATACAAGGCAGTACTCAAATAATTCTTCATCTCAGCAAATGTCTCCACGTCCGTCACAAAGCAGCGGTCACGTTACTCCACAATCTCAGCGTCACCCATATCAGCGTAGCAAGCCGGCGCCAAGCGCCACAGTCACCAGCGAAAAGGAGGGGAAAGAGAACAACAAAGAGACAGCTAGCTCAATAAAAGCAGACATGATACGGGAAATAGACAATTGCCCGGATACAGACGATGTTGCGACATTCCGGAAACAACTGTTTGAAAATATCGTGCAGAGTGCCAAACAAGCGAGAGAGGCGAAGCTTAAGTGCAACAATACCGGTGGCGGTCTGGTGGCGTTAGATTACTTAATCTCCAAAAATGTGCTCCACAGTGAGGATAAACCATTCAAGGCTAGGAATAACCATATCCAACAGATCATCCGAGGCGAAAAGCCCGGAAAATTGTGTTTAATGGACATAGTCGAATTACAAGTCGAGATAGGATTAGCTTAGATAGATATATATTGAATTTATCTTGACAATCGTCTCACTTTTATTGCATGAAATTGTCATCCTCTATAATGGACGTTTTGTCGTCAAAGAGAGAGTGAGCTTGGTAGATTTGAATCCTGAAAAAATGTAGAATAGAGTTTTACATCTAGCAGCACTTAAAGTGCTTTGCTAGATGGAATTCGATTTAATTTTATGTAGTTAAGAAAATTATGAAATATAGACAAAAATATATTTAAAAAAATATTGGGATAGATCCCGTTTTAGAAAATTGTGTGTTGTAAACAAAATATTTATTACAAATGTTGTACAAGTGATGTCTGTGTTTTGTTAAGCTATGAAGTTCGAATGGTTCAGTGGTTAGATGATAGCATCAGATATATGTGGGAATGGTGGATCTAAAATATTCTTACATCTTCTACCAACAAGCAACATACATATAGACTTTTTTTCAAATTCCAGGAAGCTTGCATTTCTCTTACCAAATTGTTTTATCACAACTGTAAATATAAAAACACACTTTTTTGAAAAATCTAAATTTTGATATCAAAATTATAAGAAAATTTTAACAAAAGTAAATTAATTGTAAGAAATGTTTAGAATATTTACGAATTTTCACGGATTTACGACCGTGATTTTCTGTATATTTTTGGAGTCTTTATACTTCCGGTGAGAGGTGAGTATCGAGTATCCTTAAAGAAATCCTATGAAGTAAGAAAGGGACAGATGCTGAAAACAAGATTTTGAGTTAGCTCTATAAAAGGGAGAGTCCCATTTTTGTGTCATGAATGGATTTTTGCTTTGTTGCTCACTTAGTGAGGATGCTAGTGGCGGTTATCTCTAAATAACAGCTTTACAAAGTGCATTGGTAACTTGTCATTTTGCAATATACGATCTGTGATGTATGAGTTTATATAATCAGAAACCCAGAGCCTTTCATTGGGAAAGTTTAGAGGTGAACGTGTCGAGGAGTCAATAGAGGTATGCAAAAAAAAAGTGTATTTTGTGAAAGCGTAGGCCAAGATTATTTTTGTTACGCTGAAATTTGTGAAAATACCAAATGTAATTGTACAAAGAAGTTTGTATGTACACACGCATCGGCATATTTTTGATTGCTGACCAGCAAATACGTTTATATATAAATATATACGGTGCCATGATTCCGTGTCGTCCGAGTTGATATGAACTGAATGTGTTATCGTTGCTCTTTTGGCCTGTGACAGCAAATACTTTTATTGTAGAGTGATCTTATGCGATCTCATTTTTTTTGTTCCACTGTGTATGAATTAACAAAAATCAAATGTGTTACTAAAGTAGTCATTAGAAATCTCAGGTTGTAACCGTCACTATACATGGTAGTTATGAAAATATACATGAACGAGAACTGGTAAATGTTTGAAAACCTCCTATAGACACAAAGTGAAAAAAACTATTTTTTAAAAAATTCCAATGATTTGCCCAGTTTTCGTCCTTTTAGCTTATTTCTTTGGCATTTTTGTAAGAAACTACTTTTTTGGAAGAATTATAAATTTTGATTTTTTTTATTCCTTTCAAAAACGAAATTTTTTTTTTTATCAGCGATGAAATGTCTCTCTCATAAGTCATATTCCACATTTATCGCCCATTTACTTGAGTGAATTGAAACAGTGACCAAAAACCTGTGTTTTAGTATGATTTTAGAACGTGTATATGTTTTGAAACTAAGTGTGTGTTTGAGTGCAAACATATTTACGGTGATTGTCAGTTGTACTGACCAATCCATGTTGTTTGTATCTCATATATTGTTACTATATATATATACATATATACAGAGACCAATCACAACTTTATTACTGTAATAGTTCCAAGAGAACTTTAAATATATTAAGTGATGGGTGTCACAAAAGTGATATGGAATTTATGAAGATACTTATATTTCTGTTTTATGTTCATGTACTTTAAATTATTGAATAAATTTAGTATATGTACAATATGTCCTCTTTTTTTCAATTTCTGACGATGATGGGAGACGGAAGGTTTGCTGAAGTCAGATACTGAACTGAAAACAAAAGGCAAATTTATTGAGCCATTTTTAAGGCAAGAAAAAACCCCCGCAAACTATCATGATGCTAAGTCTAGTCAGAATCGGGCAGAATACGCGAAGCATTAAAATTATATGAAAACTTAAATTTTATTCGATTCTCCCTCTTAGTTTAGAGCCCAAAAGTGTAGAAAGCCAAAGGTTTCAAAATTTAAATCATTTGGCTTTCCATACAAAAAAAACTATTCTTACTGAAATTCTTTTTTATCAGAATAAAATTTTCTTACCAAAAAAAAAAAAAAAGATACCAAGAGTCAATGATAGAAATGATTTATAATCGTTGTTCATTTTTCGTGAATTGGTAAAACAAAATTAATTTCATGATCAAGCAGTATCTCGACTTGTAAAGGAGTTAAGCGGGAGGGGTCCTATTTATAGGCGCTTGGTTTCAGAATGGTGAATTTTGTGTGTGTGTGTGTCTAAATATACACATTAAAATAAAAATTAAAAAAAATCGCTGAAATTCGCATTTTTTAAAGATATCATATTTATGTGTATAAAATTACACAAATATGATATCTTTTAAAAAAAACTAATTTCAGCGATTTTTTAAATTTTTTATTTTAATGAGTTTATTCAGACAGACATATAAAAACACACAATACACACAATAAACCATCCTGAAACCAAGAATCTGTAATCCTATTATCTCAATGGTGACAAGGGTGTTGCAATACGCTTTGATCAAAGGCGCTTCCCATATAAGTCAACAAAATGCTGTACCCCTTAAAATTCAACATATTATCTCGTTCTCTAATAATGCAAAATATATTTGAAAATACAATGTAGTTAAAATCAAGCGTGCTCATACTTTTAAATTTTAGGCACTTCTGATGAAAACCGATTAGACGACTTTTTATAATGGCGACGAGTTGCAGGCCTTGTTGATTTTTATTACATATGGATACAAAGCATTTTTCTTTTAAATTTACTTAATATGTAGATGGGGGCCTATTTTTTGCTTAACCTTTAAGGGGGAAGGGTCTGACGAAGACTCTGAGTTTTAGAGTTTACGAATTTAATTTCTGTCTCCGTGGAGTGTGAGAAAATTGACTATTGTGGTCACTGTTACACAATACATCGACTCTTATCTTAAATTCAATCCAAGTAAACTGGACAAAGTATGTGGTTCGTTTTTCTATTTCTTGTGATTAAATCTACGCAAGCAAATGGTGAGATTTCAATTTTAAACCCCTTGACAGGTGTTTTTTGACATATTTTGCATAAAATTCATGCATTTGTTATAAATAATTCTTGATCTTGATAAGAAAAGCGACATATCAATAGTTTTTATTTCTGACATTTGTATTACAACTGTAAAAATACATGTATATTTCTATCACGAACGTCTATCGCGAACGTAAATTGTCGTATGATTGTCCACAATATAAGAAAATTTCTTTGATTTTCAGGGAAATTTTTTAATGCAGAAATCAATAAAAAAAAAAGAAGTGAAATTTCATGATTGCAATTACAATTAAAATACTTTTTGGTTAGTAATTGATTGATTAAAAAAAAGATTCCTCGCTTTTCAAAAGTTTGTTCTTAGGTCGCCATCTTTGGAAAATATCTGAAGAATTTTCCTACCCTTTATAACTTTTGGGTTTGTAACTTTGTCATTTTACATTAAAAAAAAATAAATAAAATACAATACGTTTGCACCTTCTAATTTGATTGCCCCAGAATGGGGCTCCACAATAATCGAAAGAAAAAAATTAAAACATTTTTAAAATTTGTCGCATCGCGTCCAAATGTTTGGTTACACAAAGAAGAGAAATACTATTTCTTTCCCTTATGGCCTTTGATCGAATTGACCCTGCAAAGGGACACAACTTTTACATTTTCCAAACGTGAATTGAACAAATTATGATTACTTTATCAGAAAATATTTTGCGGAAGTGTATAAATATTTATTTAGGTACAACATTGAAAAGATAAGGTAAAGATTGGAATTGCATTCATGTATAATTCGCTGAAATGTTTCACAGGATTGCGGATTTTGTAATTCTAGAAATGTTGGGATAGAATTTTTAAGAGGTGAATACCTGCCAAGAAAGCAAGAGAAGCAGCATAAATGTGTATCAAAATGCACGGAAAGTCTATATCTGGATAGAGATCCGTTCTCTTTAAATATTATCCGTACATGTACGCTTACATGTATACTATATTTAATTTTGTAATTTTGATTACCAGTACTTTAGTCTTGCCCCATGATCCATTGCACTCAGATAACGAAGTGAAAGGGATCGTGATACAAGACTGTGTTAGTATCAGGACATTTTAGTTCGTTGCGTGTTTAGAACGGCATGTTCGAATAAATACAGAATAGGAAGATTTTCGAAGGGTCGGTAGGAAAAGTGCAAATATTAATTAAAATCTAATGTGAATTGGTGTTTCCCCCAAAATCCAAGATGGCAGGTGTCGTCCCTTTGCCTTTTTTAATGTACATAGAACAACGATTATTTTAAAAATACTGCTTATATCAGAAATGTTCATTTTTAAATCTTAATATTCATATTTATATAGACATGGAAAAACACACAATATACTAAATACACCTTCCTGAAACCGAACCCCCATATGTTAACTAACCACCTGACCTTGAACTACATATATAGTCATCTTCCAACCTGGGAACAGCGGTTCTTACACCAAGCCCAAAGGAACCGGGGTCGGGGGCAATGGAGTAGGGACGTGTCCTCCCCCAATAATTTTGCCATTATATATTTTATTATAGAAAACGAGGCTAGTTTACAGTTGTACCCCCTCAATAATTGTCACAGTATATACTATATACATTAGAAAACAAAAGCTAATTTATGGTTATGTCTCTTTAAAATAACGTATGATGTTCAACTTCTTTGCGCTTTTCAAGAATTTCTTTTAGGTTGTGTCCCCACTCGCAAAACAAAATTGATTTCTACGGGCAAATACGCTGGGTACATATATAAAAGCAGTAAAGGAATTGAAGCCCGAAAGTACCATGCGTGGTAATGACAGGAGTTTGATACTCCTTAGTATAGTTAAATTACTAGTTCTTTTCACAAGACTTTTTTATTTTTAAAGTAAGAATTGATTTTTTTTAAGCAGAATACATGCACAAGGCTGTTTGAAGACTTCATTATACCTTGACCCTTTTACATTTTTTTCAGCATTTTGATGAATTCATTTTATTTCAAACGCAGTAGAGATCAGATGAACCGTCTAGTTATCCATCATGAATTTTTCAAAAAAAAAAAAAAAAAAAAGAAAAAGAAAAAAAAAAGGCTACTGACAAGCGGTTGACATTAATATTTCATTTGATTTATTTTTCAAACCCTAGATATGCGATGCATTTTCAAATACTGAAAATGCGTATGTTTAGCACGTATACAGTTATATTTCTTGTATTCGCTATAAGACCCAAAATTTTATTGTAATGAATTACCGATCTTGTACTTAATGACCGAATACCGTTCCTATTGTTGTTATTGCCTGTTATACTCATGTGTTCCCTGACATTTTCTAGTCTTGTTATCACTTAAGCATTTGTTTTTATTAAATCATTCTCCTTCAACTTATTTCATAACATGTATTTCCTAAATATATACATGTACGTGAAAGGTCTATGATCAGTGATATAGATAATAAAAAAAACAATTAAGGTTCATTCCCTCAAAAGAATATTTTTTTTATACATAAAAAAATGACAATTATTTTTTTCTCTGAATACAGACCCTACAAACTACGCTTCAACACTGGTGTTTGATGGACTTTACTATCTGAATCATCACCCAGACGTGGTCAGTTTAGGTATCCACACTCTCGAGCAGGCCAAGAACCATTGGCTCACTAAGGGAATCGACGAGGGGCGGCAGGCTATAGGAAGTTTTCATGTAAAACAGTACCTGAGACGGTAACATTTTTGAAAAAAAAAAACTATGATTCATGGACACATTTCTTATCTATCTTTAAAGAAAAGCATATTCATGTTTTTTCAATGTTTCTACCATGAAATGCAGGGTTGGGGCATAACAAGTGTTGGTTTTGTACGTTAGTTATTCCGTTCTTCATCTAAATTGGCTTGTTAACGAGTTTTAGATTATATTTCTTGTCGAATTATTTCTAGGGTGCGTATCATTACCCTACATTTTCAAAATTGTCATCACCGTTACATACTCATTACCGCTACAAAGAGGTTACGTTACCGCTACATTTAATAGCACATGTATATACATTTCTGCTGCATTGCCTCTTTCGATGCATGTACGGATTGATTTAAAGTACAACATATACATCCATAAGACCTGTTTCCCCTGCTCACCACGGAGAGGTGAAAGTAAGACTTTGAGCAAAATGTTTTGGGTTTTTGTTTCAGTTTTAATTTAAAATCTATTTTATTTAATAAAACATTTTAGAAAGTGTTAAACCGAGCATGGATAAAACACACAGTCTTTAAATAATTGATAGCGCTTTGAAGGCCATTTGCTTGACGTACTGCTGTTTGGAAATTTCTTATATGAATTATAATGGGTAACTTGTATTCCGTGCCATTGCTGGCTGATTCGATATGTAGCGGTAATGAGATGTACTCGGCAATATTCTTTTTGATAAAATGTAGCCGTAATGATCACCCGAAATTTCGAAAAAAAAAAATGTAGCGGTAATGAGTTGAAATTTTTCGCAATTTAGCGGTAATGTTGACCTCCCATTTCTTTATGTAGAAAGCCTTTGCGAAATCAAAATAAAAATCAGGTTCTGAGATGAACTCTCTGGGATTAAAAATCTCGATTGACAAAAAAAAAAAAAAAAAAAAGCGGGGAGTAACAAATAAAAATAATCTTATCAAAATTTAACTACATTTCTTCCTAGATTCATTTAAATCTGAAAAAAGGTTTTAATACTAATTAAATATCGTCTTAATGACAAAATACGGATTTTTTTCACAATCAAATTTAATTTGAATATGAGTGATGCGTTAGCCTTTATTTTTTGGAAGCAAAACCTTCCTTTGCGGAGGAATAGCAAAAGGCATAAGTGCGCTTTTCTGATCAAAACTTCTCAGTTGTCTGTCGTCGTAAACTTTTCACAATTTCACCTTCATTTCCAAAATCACCAGGCCAATTTCAACCAAACTTGGCACAAAGCATCCTTGGATGAAGGGAATTCAGATTTCTTCAAATAAATGACCACGCCTTCTTTCAAGGGGAGATAATTGGGAATTAGTGAAAATTTTATGTCATCGTTTAAAAATTTTCTTATCAGGAATCAACAGGCCAGAAGAGATGAAATTTATTTGAAATATCGTAGATAAAAGTTTATTGAAATCATGACTTCTGGGTTTAGGTTGGGGCCACAATAGGGGATGAAAAATTTACATAGGAATATAAAGGAAAAATCTTTAAAATCTTCTTCTCAAAAACAGCAAAGCCATGATTAGTCATATTAATATGGAACATCCTCAGGTAGCTTAGATTCAGGTTTGTTCAAATCATGCCGCCCCGGGGTAGAGTGGGCACAACAGGGGGCCAAAGTTTTACATAGGGATATATAGGGAAAATCTTTTTAAAAAATCGTCTTATCAAGAAAGCAAGGTCATGAATAGTTATATTTATAAGGAAGCATCCTCGGAGTGTGTATAATCAATTTTATTCAAATCATGTCTCGGAGGTTACGGTGAGGCCACAACAGGGGATGATAGTTTTACGTAGGAATATACATGTGTAGGAAACTAGAAATATGTCCATAGACATAAATGACCCGCTAAGGGCTTATTAGTAATGTAACACGAAAACTTGTATTAGTGTATGAAGTTTGGTGAAAATATCTTGAATAGATTCTTTAAAACTGAGTTTTATACACAATAAATAGTAAAGTCAAAGGTCATGTGGAATGTCAAGGTAAAAAATATCTTGAATAGTTTCTTTGAATCTGAGCTATATCAAATTTAAGAAAACTGAGGTCAAGGTTAAAAATCGTTGATACATTTATTAGCACTCAACAAAATATATCAGCATATAAGGTTGGAGAAAAAAAATTTGATTTGTTTCTTTAAAACTGAACAAAACATAAATATTAAAAAAGTAAGGTCAAATTTTAAGGATGGTGAAGTTTGATAAAAATATCATGAAGTTTCTTTGAAACTAAGCTAAACGCTTTGGAAGGACGGAAATGACAAACACATGTTCCGGGCATTTTCATTGCGGGGCATAAAAAATTTAAATATCTTTTTCTCAAGAACTGGAAAGTCATGATTAATCATACATATATAGAAGCATCCACAGATTCGATTCAAGTCTGATCAAATCACCCCCAAGGGGGTAGGACGAGGCCATAATAGTAACAAAAGTTTTACATAGAAATATATAGGAAAATATCTTGAAAAATCTTTTCAAGAACAGCAAAGCCATGATTAGTCGTACTGATATGGAAGCGTCCTCAGGTATAGTAGTTTCAAGTTTGCTTAGAAAATAAGGGTCCTTGTGGGTAAGATGGAGCCAAAGTTTTACACTGGAACATATAGGGAAAAAGCTGCAAATGAAAAACGGCAAGATCATTAGTGACTCAGGTTAGCGTTGTGGCCCATGGGTTTCTTGTTGATAACGAAAGACCCAACAGTTAGAATTATAATACATGTATTTACAGAACAATAATTACAACAGACAAGTTGAAAAGTGATTTGTAATTGAACTAAAGCCCAGAGACTTTTGGCCTTTTCAGATACCATGATCTAGCCAACGCTTTTGGAACAAATTATCGTCAAGCAATTCAGCATTACATTCACCATAGCAGCACTGAACACCGCGTCGGTTACTTGGAAGGGGGGTTTGGGGGAACTTGGACCATTTCTGCTCATGGGATTTACATCGGTGCCTCTGCTAGAATGGGCGGAGCTATAGATAGTTTAACGTGGAACAACCGAGAGCTGGTGAATTCATACGATCATGGTCGAGAATTACAGATGGCCTGTAACAGCAATACGTATGCTGAATGTTACAATCCAACGGAAGCGGGGGGCAGAGATGATTCCGACCATACCAAAACATACATCCAATGGATTAGAGCGCATGGAAACATACTAGAATCGGAGGTATGCAACTCGGTTTTAGTCTATGTCCTCAAACGATACACATTTCGACATTATAATTGTACATGCATATTTTTCTTCGCAGGTCCATCCAGCCTTTTGGTTGCGTCCTGGAGCCCACGAAACCCGGGACACGACAATAAATGGCTGCACACGAGGTTCAGCGGCTTTGAACCATCAAATGACATACAAGTATCCCTTCCATAAAAAGGTTACCATTGGTACCCATGGGATCGACAACTGCATTGAATACGTGTCAAATTTCACTATCGGAGGAGACTGGCCCGCTGATTTAAAGTTCATTCAGATGGAAGCCCCAGCAGGGTATATGGCTGGAGATTTCAATCAGATTTACTATTTTAATCCCAAAACTGTTTCCATGGAAATACACAAAACGGACAATCACCCGGTAGTTTTATCGACACACGACAACCTGAACGCTGTGGGGGTTTACACACCACCTGGCCAAGACAGTGATATCCCGGTTAAATATGGTGCCCATGTCTTTCGCCTTGGAACCTTCGACAATGACACAGGAAAATGGAATGTCGTGTATAGAAAATATCGTACCCATGGTAACCAACCGGTCCAGTATGTGTACAAGACATATATTTGTGTTGGGTCATTGGGAATCGTTTCGAACTGTCTACATAAAATCATGCAAATGATATAGCTAAATTATATTACATCAATTGTTCAATGTCATATGACTAATTTGACAAATTTTGTTTGTTGAAAACATCAACTTGAAGGTTTCTTCAGCGTCAATTCTTATGCAATGGCAATTTGAACTTATTAAATCAATGAAAGACAAATAATTGTGTATAAATATCAATAATTTAATAATCAACAGATAACAAAGGCATAATGGCATAATAAATAGATCTACAGAAATAACACAATTTGTGCTTTATAGTCACACGAGTTGATCACAGGAACTGCAAGAGACTTAGCTTCAAAGCGGGATAACTCTGATATGAGAACGTCATTTACTCTGAAGTAGAATCGCTAAGTTGGCCCTCGGATCCGCTTGACCACTGTCCATTGCCTGCAAGAGTATCGGAAGAAACATGTATATATAGAACTCATTACATTAATCTTCAATCAAGTTGAATCTGATTTGCTGTTACAGATATTAATAAATAATGAATTTTTCCCTACAATAACGTATTAAATCACGTTAATCCAGTTTTCGAAATTGTTGCTTACAATAACTTTTTGAGTTGCTGCGACTATTCTGGTTGCTGCCGAATATCTGTTGCTTCTTCTGTCTGGCACGTGCGTTCTGAAACCAAACTTGTGCAACGCGCCTACTGACTCCTGCCGTAAGAGCAATTCTGTTCAACTCCTGGCTGTCGGGGTTGCTCTCGATGCGAAAGTTGGCTTGAAGGATCTGGAGCTGCTCTTCAGTAAAGGACGACCGCACCCGTTTGGCCTTTGGTTTGCTGCTCAGTTCTGAATCTGAAATTATTAAACATACAGGTTTGATATCATTTCTTTCTCCTTTTACAGATTTTTTTTAATTGGATAATTAGGTTTAAGGTATACATTAAAGAAGGAGGGCGGGAAAGAAACCTTTTAAAGAATTTAAAAAATAGTTTCACAGAAAATTCTAATCTAATATAAAGAGATAATATATATTTGAGGATTTCTGAATCTGAATTCATTAGCGCTGCAAATAGCTTACAGTTATATGTATTTAAAATGATATTTTACACATGACCTAACATTACTACTAATTAAATGATCGAATTATTAAATATTTATGGTTTGAAATGGTTTGAACATCCGAATCTGTCTGTTACATGTAAAGTTTCTAGAAAAAGCCGCTCTCGTTTTTACTTGTATTTGCAAATCACTATGCAATACAAATTTATATATTACAGTACTTCTTTGATGTGACAAGAAATTCTATAATAAGCCATAGGCATATTTGAATGATACGGAAACGTTTTAAAATTGAGACAAGATTCATTTTCTCCGCCTCATTTCCGTAAGGAGACGGTTTTCATAATACTCAGATTTACCTTTTTCTGTCCCTCCCTCGATGAGAGAAGTGTAATGTCTAAGACACAATACTTGGTCCCCATTCAGGGCGAATTCCTCCCCCGTAGAAAGTTGTCTTTGACAGGTATCGCATGCAAAACAGGCAAGATGGTACACATTATCACGGGCTCGCCTAACCCAGTCTGTCGATTGTATCCTCCTGAAACACTTAGAGCACTTGGTTCCAAATTCACTGCAAATGAGAAAAAAAACAAATAAAAGCAAGAAAGCATATATAAAGACAAGTACATATCATATCAGCTTTTGTCTGAACTCTGAATTGGTAGATATTTCTAGAAGCTAAGTACGTACCCAATGTAGTCTTGTCTACAGTATATGTTGTCATCTTTGACGAAGCAGCTTTCCTCTTGGTCGAGCTGGAGACAGCAGACACAACATCGAAGACAACTAGAGTGCCAACTGCCGCCATTGACGTGCAGGAAATATCTGTCCAGGATAAGTTCGTGACATCCCTCGCAGATCTGGTCCTCACACTGCAAGTCAACCATATTTCATCTCAGTCAACAATTTAGCGAGAGAATTCATTGTATATACTTTATGCAGAATTTCTATGTATAATAGGTTTTTGTTCTCCCAGCTGTCCCTTATTTGATGAATAGTTCGTTTCTTTACATGGCAGGTACAAATTACAAATTCTTATTCTGAACTTCACGTTTGACAAAATAATTTATTCAAAAAGTGCTTTAATTAATATTTCATGAACACGTTTTTTGTCATTTATTGTAGGACTTCATAAACTGGTGAACAAAATTCTCCAATATCTCTTATTTAGAATATAACATGGGAAATTAAATAAATACCTATCCCGTTTTTTAGTCCTTTTTTATCCCTGAATAATTACGTTTTTAAAAAGAATATTTCACTATATTTTCTCTATTTTTGAAAATACTGACCGATTCCACGGGAGACGTAAGTTGTTCTGCAAATGCTGAATCAGACGATAGAGATGAAGAGGAGGATCCAAGTTCTTCATAACTAGTCATCATCATTTCCTGGTCGCAAGACAGGTCCACACGGGTCAGTTCGGTCAACATGATGAACTAAAAAAAGCTACCTTGGAATGTAGCCAGTTCAATATATAGAAAGTCCGATGACTGAGCGATGTTCACCTAGGTTATACAGTGTTTGTTTTGCATTTTAATTGATCTCTTCGAGAGATCAAAAGTTGGCACCTGATATCCCGTCGCGTGGCAGGCATGCACGCGCGTGTTCACGGTCTAATTACCCCAGTGAAAAAATATCACTGACCCTAACGCTCTTATGTCATAAGTCAGGTATTAATTATTTAAACAGAATATTGTGCATTTTCAATGCAAGCCGATTAATATTTTTTTTATTTATTATTTTCTTAGAATGTTGCTTTCATAAACTTTCAATAATCTACAAGAAAAAGAAATAAAAGATGGAGGTGAATTGTTGAAAATATATGTTAAATATATTTTTAAAAACAATATCTTATTATGTTTATATATAAAAGGATTGGACAGAGACACACTGCTTATATAATCCCTCTCCATAGTTCAAGGGTCAGAGTCAATACAAAAAACAAAAATTTATACATAAATGGATGTTGGTTCTGTGGTTTGAAAATTTAGAAAAAGAAATAGATATATACTAATCTTTTTTTTTTTTTAGACAGAATAAGTTCATAAACAATTCTAAATACTGCAACAATTTGGTTGTAGTCATATTGTAATTGTATATTAAACATTCTTCTGTATTTGACATTTTAAAAAACGCTGCAAAATAAATAAGGAATATCATAATCTTCATAACTACAGGGTTACCCATTATAGCTTCACGAGATTCACAATATTTAGAAACAGGATGGGTATACCTCTTGCAGAGAGACGCAAAGTAACAAAACTGTGCATCACAATCCGGTACCCCATTATTAAAAAAAAAAATTTCTCAATTTTGTTATGTGTCTTTACTGAAAATATGTTTACAATATCATTTTCACTGTTCAAATTACAAGCGTAGATGTCTTCGAGTTTGCAAAAATGCTCCTTTTGACACCCCCCCCCCCCCATACCTATCGAGAGGTGGCTCATTGCTTACCCACACTTTGCGCCTCAGGTCAAATTTGTGACTGCACACTAGCCTACACATCCGCAGAAAAGAATATACGCCACTGGAAGACCCGTATCATTTCTTCAAATATCAACATGCTAGGGAGGAACTATTTAGAAACCTTTTATGTCTTACTAAACCAGATATTAAACTAAATATTATTGACTGTCACCTACTTCTGTGGGGAGATGAATCACAAAATGTTGAAATCAATAAATACATTTTTCAATCGGTACAAAAATTTAAAAGAGATTCTGGTAGATTTATTTAATTATTACAGCCTAACACTAGAGCTCTAATAAGTTATATAGTTTTACATGTATCGAATGTATATGTATAAAACAAACCTGTTTGTATATCAATTTTTTTTTTCCTATAGATATCGACAGTTGTAGCTTTTTAAGGTGGGGACCTTGTAAGTTGTTAGAACTTGTGTTCAAACCATTTGTATAATATTTATACAATAAAATATATTCAAATTCTAGATCAAAAAAAATTATTGATTAAAAAGGAGACTTATTGCATTATTACGCTCAACATTTCGGATTTTCACATAATGTCGTTTAATGGAAATATTAAATATATACTTGCATACTTTTCACAAGAAATGCTGCCGAGTGTGTATTTTATAGGATGCAGTGATACCCCCCCCCTTCTCATGAAGATTGAATATATAAAGATGTCGAAATAAAAGTGCATAAATTGATGTGTTAATCTTAAACTTTATGCTATGTACTTTTCACAGAGAGCAGGCATTGCTAGAGAAGAAATCTTGGGGAAGTTTTCTTGGGGGTGGGGTATGTGTTTGTTTGTTTATTTTTTTTTGGGGGGGGGGGTCTCTCATCCTTTTTTTAACGGTCATGAAACACATTTACATTTTAAGCCTCTATGAATACCCCTACATTGTGCTTTAAAACCTAAAAACAAAGCAACAACAATAAAACTAAAACTAAAACAAACAACAACAAAAAAACAACAACAACATTTTGACAATGTCTATTTTCCGAGGACATGAATATCCTATTATTTCATGCTTCTAAATTACATTGTGCCAATAACAAAATTAATATTCACATTTGATTGATTTATCCCATTATTGAAAATTATTTGCTATGTGTGTGTGTGTGTGTGTGTTTTGGTTTTTTGTTTTTTGTTGTTTTTTTTTTTACCCAACAAAGCAGGTGCGTGTCATCGTTGAAATTAGAGAAAGTGGTAGCAGCCAGGAAAATATGATACTGTACTGACAATCAGACCTCCCTCCCAAAATCTGTTTAAACCTGAAAACCTTATTTCGAGGGGAAAAGGGGTGCTCACTCCCATTTTCGGGAAAAAATTGATTTAAAAAATCCTGGGAGTGTTCGAGCAAGCGACAAAAAGTGGTGGGGGTATTAGTTAGAATAATCTAACTGTGTCTCGGGTCCGTAGGGCATTTATCATTTTAATGATGGAACATTCTATCTATGGGGGTATAACCTTTGAATGCAAATGTCCATGCACAGGGAGCTTGCTCCCGGTGTGAAAAAAAAAATATTTAAAAATGTTCACCAGCTACTAAAGTAGTTGTTATAACAAATATTTTTTCAAATATTATTTTACATATTGGGAGCAACTTGAGCTCCTGTGGTCCGTGCTCAATTTACAACAAAAGACTATTGTAGTTATTGTAAAAATAAAAGTGAGGCCCGGGGCCCATTTACTCCCCTGCAAAAACAATCTCTATCGTTATACCTAAGAAAACACAAATGTACACACTGAATAAGATCCGGACTTGGGATTTCCGCACATCCTTTAACTGTTATAAATCTCTGCTTCCGGTTAAAATGAAAATGGATTCGCAAAGTATGAACTTCCTGTAACTTTCTGAGAACTTTGGAGCCAACTTTTACCATTATGGGGTCAGAAATTGAGAACGAGTTTATCAATTATGACAAATACAATGCCTGGGGTCCAGTTTATCAGGTAAAAATGCCAAGAACTTTGTCTGAGTGGTCAAACCATCAAGAACAAGACTTCCGGATGGAACAATTTATATAGTTTACTTTGGCACGTTACATATTTCTAGCATGTGGTTTTAAGCACGTCCTGGTTATAAATGTTGAACAAAAATATCTTTTATAAAAGAAAAATGTAAATGTTATGAATGACTATATTATATTCATGTTGCACAGACTTCGATTAGGCCTGTATCATCTGCATTTGGAACTTGTATGAAAACAGATTGGGCAAAATATTTTATTTTGATGAGGTCATCGGGCTAAAATGCATACATATCTGTAGGCGCATTACAGTAATATTCTCTATACTGATGATTCAAATTTCTTTCGACCAAGAAACATTTCGTTTGAAAAAAATGTTCACCTCGCTTAAATCTTACATATATTGTGCTATATTTTAGTATAAAACATTTGTTATTGATAACTTCTTGAAGTTCTACAGTAGCTGACAGATAAGGTTTAACATTTGACAAACAACCTAATTAAAACAAAACGTTAAAGCTTTCAAGAGGAAACATTCTGGAAGTTATTCTTTTAGTTTGCATTGTTTTAAATGTTAGACTTAAAAAATAGATTTTTGAAAAGTTTACCCTGTTTCCAGATTGATTTATGTTTAAGTATGTGGAGGTCAAATATTACAGATAAAATCATTTCCGAACAACCCATAAGTGATGTTTCATGTTAATATAAGTATATGGAAAGTAGGTTTTTAAGGGAGAAAATTCGCATCCCTTTGTTGTTTTCTTTTTACCCCAAAAATGTTTATAAACATCAATTTGAAAAATGTTTTTAAGGAATTAAAAAATGAGGCAGCTATGCAGGCAATTGAAAACGAGTTCTCAACAGCAGAGGCCCGCAATGCAGCCAACAGAAATAAAAACAGATACAGAGATGTTAGTCCATGTACGTTCTATGTTGTTTACTCTATTTAAGATCTACAGTTGAACTTCGATATCTCAAACTCTGATATCTCGAATACCATCAGTATGTCAAAGTGATTTGGAAGTCCCAACTACTTATTCTTTAAGTATTTTACCCCTGATGTTTCGAATCCTCGATTATCTCAAAGTTTTTTCTCGGTCCCATCTAGTTCGAGATAACGAAATTTGACTGTATATAATTTTTAAATACATCTGCCAGGAAGATAATGTTCATGGTTCATTCATTTATAAATTTATCTGTCTCTTAGTAAGCAGCCTTTTGCTGTAAAAATGGGAATATTTACAAACTTGTTAGCAAAGGTGAAGTTTCAATGTAAAGGTTTAACAAGTGATTGAAATTTTGGAGAAATGTGCAGACTGTTTAAAGTATCAAACTTGGGTAAATTACTTGAGAAAATTTATAGATAACAAGGGCTGAACTGAATGTAAATATATACTTCCACATGTAAACATACATGAATTTATAGTGCAATCAAAATTTACTACATTCTTTCTCTTCAACTATTTAAGGGGAAGAAGGACCTTGAGCTGAAAAAATATTGTCATTCAATTTCTTTATTTTTTGTATATAACTTAAATCTTATTTGTTTTAATAAAATGAAAATTTGCATATTTTGAAGTTTGGAAGATTTGTTTATTTATCAAAAAGGAAATTTCAGAAATTGATTTAATTTGTTTTTTAAAAAAAAGTATTTTGTTAAGCTGAATATAATTCTATTTTAACAATTATTATTGTCATTTACTGGAGTGTATTGAATCAAAATTTCAGATGACCATGCCAGGGTTAGACTGTCAAACAATGTGTACATCAATGCAAGTCTTGTGGAAGTTAAACAGGCTAACAGAAAGTATATTTTAACACAGGTAATTATTACTTACACTTGTAAAATACATGTACCATTTAACCATTATGGTGCATTTTCCAGAAGATGTGTTTTTAAGTTTTGTATTAAGTACATGTACATAGTGTAGACTTTATAAGTAACAAACCAGTACATTGACCAAGCTTCCATAGATTTTTATCTAGACATATGTACTGCCACATATGAATAGATGTGGGCCTGTAGCTCACTGGTCTCAAAAAAAATAGGAGTGGATGACCAGAGTTTGGTCGTTCATCAGAATTTTTTCAGACCTGTGAACTACAAATCTGCAGCTAACGTGAATTAGTGTGTTTTCTGGATGGAAATTCAGATTAACAGAAGTTTTTTTTTCAGCAAGTTATTTTCCATGGGGTAGAAGATACTTTTTAGCTCACCTGAGCTGAAAGCTCAAGTGAGCTTTTCTGATCACCCGTTGTCCGTCGTCCGTCCGTCCGTCTGTCTGTCCGTCCATCCGTCCGTCTGTAAACTTTTCACATTTTCAACTTCTTCTCAAGAACCACTGGGCCAATTTTAACCAAACTTGGTACAAAGCATCCTTGGGTGAAGGGGAGTTTAAATTGTTAAAATAAAGGACCAAGCCCCCTTCCAAGGGCAAATAATCAAGAAAAGACAAAAATAGGGTGGGGTCATTAAAAAATCTTCTTCTCAAGAACCACTGGGCCAGAAAAGCTGAAACTTATGTGGAAGCATCCTGGGGTAGTGTAGATTCTAAATTGTTCAAATCATGACCTCCGGGGGTAGGGCGGGGCCACAATAGGGAATCCAAGTTTTACATTGAAAAATGTAGAAAAAAATCTTTAAAAATCTTCTTCTCAAGAACCACTGGGCCAGAAAAGCTGAAACTTATGTGGAAGCATCCTGGGGTAGTGTAGATTCTAAATTGTTCAAATCATGACCCCCGGGGGTAGGGCGGGGCCACAATAGGGAATCCAAGTTTTACATTGAAATATGTAGAAAAAATCTTTAAAAATCTTCTTCTCAAGAACCACTGGGCCAGAAAAGCTGAAACTTATGTGGAAGCATCCTGGGGTAGTGTAGATTCTAAATTGTAAAAACCATGACCCCCAGGGGTAGGGCGGGGCCACAATAGGGAATCCAAGTTTTACATTGAAATATGTAGAAAATATCTTTAAAAGTCTTCTTCTCAAGAACCACTGGGCCAGAAAAGCTGAAACTTATGTGGAAGCATCCTGGGGTAGTGTAGATTCTAAATTGTTCAAATCATGACCCCCGGGGGTAGGGCGGGGCCACAATAGGGAATCCAAGTTTTACATTGAAATATGTAGAAAAAATCTTTAAAAATTTTCTTCTCAAGAACCACTGGGCCAGAAAAGCTGAAACTTATGTGGAAGCATCCTGGGGTAGTGTAGATTCTAAATTGTAAAAACCATGACCCCCAGGGGTAGGGCGGGGCCACAATAGGGAATCCAAGTTTTACATTGAAATATGTAGAAAATATCTTTAAAAATCTTCTTCTCAAGAACCACTGGGCCAGAAAAGCTGAAACTTATGTGGAAGCATCCTGGGGTAGTGTAGATTCTAAATTGTTCAAATCATGACCCGTGGGGTAGGGCGGGGCCACAATAGGTATTACAAGGGGGAAATCGGGTGAAAAACAGCAAGGCCAACGTTACTCAGGTGAGCGTTGTGGTCCATGGGCCTCTTGTTTTAAACTGCCAGATTCTAATAGAAAATAAGAGATTGATAAATACTCTTGAAATTTTGTTATTTGGATTTTTTATGCTTGTTTGATTAATAACTGGTATTAAAACCAAGTACCATAGTTTATTTTTTTTTCCATTATTTTTATTTCTTAGGGCCCTCTAGAAGTGACAGTTTCACATTTCTGGCAAATGGTTTGGGAACAGGAAAGTAAAGCCATTGTCATGCTCAACAAACTGATAGAGAATGGAGCGGTGAGAACAGTTTGTTTTTAAAATGAAAAAAGTGCTTATATCCAGAAATTACAATTTTGAAAAAAAATCTACTTTTTATTATACCCCCCGCAAACGAAGTTTAGGGGGGGTATATTGGAATCAGCTTGTCCGTCTGTCTGTCTGTCCGTCTGTCTGTAGACGAGATTTTGTCCAGACCATTTCTTGGAAACTGTTGCAAGGATTTGTCTGAAAATTTGTACACTTATTAGTCACCATATGAAGGTGTGCACCTGGTATTTTCATCATGATTGGATAATTTTTTGCATTTTACAGGTGTTTTTTTCATTTTTATTATGTGGTTTTGTCCGGACCTGTTCCCTGAGACTATTGCATAGATTTGTATGAAAATTTGGACACTTATTATTTACCATATGAAGGTGTGCACCTGGTATTTTCAACATTATTTGATAATTTTTCTGCATTTTACAGGTGTTTTTTTTTTCATTTTTATTATGTGGTTTTGTCTTGGATCTGTTCCCAGAGACTATTGCATAGATTTGTCTGAAAATTTGTACACTTATTATTTACCATATGAAGATGTGCACCTGGTATTTTCAACATTATTTGATAATTTTTCTGCATTTTACAGGTGTTTTGTTTTGTTTTTTTTTTTTTCATTTTTATTGACTTAGTCATTTCGGGTTCATGTCTAAGGTTTCAGACATAGAATCTAGGACATCTGTACAAAAATGTGAACTACAGCTTAAAACTACTCATTAGAACTAAAAAAAAAATCACAGAGTATTAAAAACAGTTTTTACGTTACACAGCAGATAGTGTAAATCCATTTGTCCCTTGGGAGTAATGAATGGACATGCATCCAGTTAAAGATTAATTAATGACTTCAGTGTGGGAAGCTGTTAGGGCATCTCTGATCAAGCAGGTCTTATCTATATTTCCTGGGAATTGGGCAGAAAGAAATAAAGATCTCTGTTGTCTAAGTCTCTTTATTGTAATTTATGTCTGTCAAAATACATAGTTACTGGAAACAGCCTTTTATTTTTAAAATGAGTTTGATATAAAGGTATTAAGATCAATTTGATTTTGTATAATTAATTGTGATATATTTTTTTCAACAATCAATTTGCAGAGTGTCATGTCTCACAAAGATGACAGATACATGTAGTTGCAAACTATTTTTTCAATGTAATAAAAAACACTGTAATTACTAGTATTGATGTTTTATTAGGCTGCACCTTAGCTTCATTCATTAAAAAAAAATATGAGTAATTAAATTTTCACTCTAAATGTTAAAGCAAATTGTGAACACCTCTCACATCTAGAAAACATTAGTGATTTAGTCCTTCTCTGAAAAACCCAGCGGGAGGTATTTGTCCCTTTTGGACAGTTCTAGTTCATATTCATAATAGATGATAACTGGAGGTTGATACTTGATAGAAATCAGGTTACTGTGTACTTAAAAAAGTGGGCTTTATATTTTAGAGGCTTTGGTGCAGACAACGATGTGCTAATTCATGAATACCACTAAGAAATCATTTATAAATACAATTTATGGCACTGACATGTGTAGCGCTAATTCATGATTTCGCCAACAGCTCCATACTCAGTGATTGCGCTAAATTTTAAATACGCCAATTTATGTACACACACAGTATACCGGTAGATGATTTTCATGATAATTTAAAATCCTAGATAAGCAATCATTTCCTTAATAAGTAATGCTCCCATCTGAGGAACATATTTATTGTGCATTGACCAGTATGGCATCAGATATTGCAAAATATGCAATGAATAAGTCATTTGAAATTATTGCCCCCCCCCCCAAAAATGTACGAGGTTTTCCTTTTGTTCTAATCTACATACGGGTAGTATTCTCACTGTGTAATATGTTTTGACTTGATTCTTTGTAGAGAAAGTGTTATAAATACTACCCCACCAGTGAAGAAGACGATGAAGATGAGATGGAGTTTGAAGATGTGTCACTTAATGTTTCTGTTGTCAGGGAAACACAGCTGGACTATTATATAGAAAGAATCTTACTTTTAAAGCATATAGAGGTAGGGAATGGAATTTTGTTGTCATTTGTAGGGCATTCCTGTGCCTTAGACATGATGATAAGCCTGGCATGTTTGTGCCTCCTCTAAACTCAGTGAAAATATTTATTTACATTGAAATACACCATCTGTAAATATTTTTTTTTAAATCACAACACATGTCATATGAGTGAAACTTAATCCAGAGAAAAATGCTTTTTTGATTGAGTTCATTGTAAAATCAATTTTGATGCACTATCTAAATTTTTTACAGTGTGCACATGTGATTTAAATTATTTCATATCTTTTAAAATTCACTGATTTGTGCAACACCATGTAAATTTAAAGGTAATAGTCAAGCCCAATGATAATCGATAAATATCCTTGAAAACTGATTTACCGGTAACTTTTTTTCACTCTGTTGTTAATGTTTGCTTGTTTTGTCCTTCATCTCAAATGGGGGTACATGCACATGTATTTACAAAATACTTGTACCTGTATAATATCCAAAAATACTTTTGTCAAAGTTTAATTGGAGCAGCATTACTGTCAATACATCTGAAGGAAAATAATGCAAAGCAAAAGTTTTCAAGTATGTATAAAGTGAGTAGTTTGCTTTGATAACAATAATAGATATTGGAAAGAAATTCATAATTTTAATGCTCTTGAAAAAGTTTTTTTTTAATTTATAGAGTGGAGAATCTCGAGAGGTCATTCATTACAATTACACACACTGGCCAGATTTTGGAGTCCCCCAATCACCTTTAGTGTTCCTGAATTTTCTGATGACTGTCCGACAGTCCGGAGCCCTGGAGGCAAATGTTGGCCCAGCCATCATCCACTGCAGTGCAGGCATTGGGAGATCAGGGACATTTTGTCTCGTAGATTCTGCTCTTGTTATTGTGAGTGAACGTGTACAAATAACGCAGCCTTATCTATCATTAGGTGGTTTACTGTATTTTCTTATGTGTTATAAGGAGTAGAAATTTAGGTTGATTTGATTGAAGATACATTCAGGTTGATTTGATTGAAGATACCCGGTACATGTATTTTTGTTGGGTGTCAATAAACAATTGGGATAAGAGACAAGTTCAATAATTCAAATTGGCTTCTACTACATGTATCTTACCCCCTATGGTATTAAAAAGCTATCATTCATCTTGGTACTGGAGACACTATCTCATTCTGTCAGCAGAAATAAATTCTAGATTTATCTTTTTAGTGCATAGCATAGCTCAAAATGATTTCAATATCTTTAAAAAATATGGACTTTAAATCTTCCAGTTCAGTCTTTCAAAGATGGAGATTAGCCACAAACATTACTCTCATGCAGCTAAGAGGAATGGGAGAGTAGCAGTATAGCCCATTGATTTCTTTTCTGTGTTGTGTGTAATACATTTGAGATAGATACACTATTTTCTAATTACAGATTGAAAAGACTCAAGATATGAACTCAATCGATGTGAGAAATTTACTACTGGAAATGAGAACATATCGCATGGGACTGATTCAAACAGCTGACCAACTGCGCTTTTCCTATCTTGCCATTATCGATGGAGGACGCAGAATATTGTCCAACGGAAATTCAACGCTGGATATTTTATCAGATTATCTTGATGTGAGCAACATTTTTTCTTTGTGATCTTGCAGAATTGCAATCCAACAGTCTTTTCTAATGTGGGTTTCAATTTTGGGTACAGGGATTTAAGCTGACAATTATAATGAATACTGACTGCCATTAATAGTTTGTCACATAAGTGTTTGATTAAGTAGTGCATCTCATGACCAAAGAGGTATGTAAAAGTATGTACAACTGCATTGTCTGTTGAACATTAGTTGGTATGTGTGTTTCTACCACCCATGTTGACATGTACATCTTATGGATGTGTATATAAATATTTCAGCAAAGCAGCAAAAAAGAAGACAGCCCTCCCCCACCCCCACAAAGGACCACAAGTTTGCCAGTGGATAGACATCCCCCACCCCTTCCCCCTCGAAGTCCGGATCTGAGGAAAACGGAGGAGAAAGAAGAAGAAGAGGAAGAGGACTATGAAAATCAACGAATTTCACCCAAAGACACCGAGGAGTTAATTCCCGAGAAAAAGGAAGAGGAAAACAGGTACAATATGTGTAACTAATAACTATAGGATGTTAGTTCCTTTTATATATGTCTTAGATAAAATTCATAGCATTTAACGTGCATGAAGGGGTATCAGTGTTTCTCCTCTCAGGAATTTTAAAAGTACACAAGTTGCCATTTATTGATGTTTTTGACAAGGGAATAAAATAAATTTACTTGTTTCTTTATTCAGACAAAATAGAAGTCTGCTTGAAATATTATGAAGCAAAACTTCCACTTTTCTTAGTGTATGAGTTAAGAAATGAATAGGAAGTAGTTGCTGCTTTTTTAAATTTTTGTTTTGTTTTGTTTTGTTTTTTTTTGGCAGTAAAATGAAATAATGGAATAAAAACTTATTGAAATTTACCGTAATAATGAAAATTAATGAAGTAATAAAATGGACCACAAGAAGTTTTTTAATTTGAAAATAAAAAAAAAAAGCGAAACCCCAAAGGCTCTATACATTGGTGGTAAATCCTTTAGTCTACATGACTACACTTACTTGTAATTTACATGAATAGAGACTTTGACGTTTTTGTTTCCAACAGTACTTTCCGAAGGAGAATTCAGAGAGAGGAACGCAGGCAGAAGACGCAAAATCAAATAGACAGAATGAGAGAAAAACAAAGAAAAAGTGAATTGTGGAGAAACAGACGATCCTATTTAGCTCCAGTGGCTATAGGAATAACATTATTAATCGGCGGATTCTTTCTCTATAAATATTATTTCTGAACTTATGATTTATGCAAATAACAAGTTGATGACATCAAGTTTGTTTATTTAGATCTTTTTTTCTGAAGTTTTTTTTTTTTTTTTTTTACACAATCACTAGTAAATATTTTGGTCATGCTGTTTTAAGTTATTAATACCTCAGAGCAATACATGTATTGACTTTATATATATATTTTTATTCATGCTGAGTGATGTATATATATACATTGACCTTTATGTCCTTTATAAGCCATACCCTGAACAATTATTCTTTAACCCGAATGTTGTTGAAAGTTCCATGAATCTGGACACAGTATATCCCCCTGGTACATATGCAAGTTGTACATGTATTTGATTGCTAGTTACAGAAACATATAAATGTTTAAATTGACACTGGATTGGAACTGTTTCATATGGACAAGTACCATTAGTTTGTACTTTACTAAATCTTTATGTATATTTTGGAATGTACTTGGTCTGTACTTACAGTAATGTGGGAAAAAAAAGCATGTAATAAAATCATGAATAGTTGCTGAGAACAAACTGATTTCCTCTATGATCGATATGTACCAGGGGTTTTATTTCTGTTGTCTCTTGTTACATATTCTCATGTAAGACCCCCTGTCTATTTGAGTTTTTACAATTTCTTATGGGATTTACTTGAAATGCACCAGATTTTTTTCCCATAGGGTTTTTCAATTTTTCTGGAAAGAGAGAGAAGAGAGTTTGTTTTATGACATCAACAAAATATTTTAGTGGGGGCATTTCCATAATTCACATTTCCATATATACACAAATTATATTTCAATAATTTTTCACAATACATGTATCAGTTGTAAATCTTGGGTTGGGGGGGAGGGGGGGGGGGGAATATCACTTACAAGTATTTTACAACTCTCATCAGATTACCACAGATTAAGAATATTTTTCAAATTGTTATTGGGTTGTCATATAAATAATTTATATTATAATTTAGAGAAAAGAAAAATGGAAATAATACAAATAAAGAGAACTGCAATTAGTACATCTTGTTAAGTAGATTGGGGTGAATTAGCATGTATATCATGTATATCTGTACAGAACAAAAGAAAATTATTAAGGTGGGGAGGGAAGGTGTTATATTGTGAGGTTTGCTTATCTTCTAGTAACAGGTTTAATCTCAGACAAGTTTCAGGGTATGCTTGTCCAGATTGTTTTAGTTACCAGTGCTGTGAATGTGGAAATTTATGTGTGTTGTTAATTTTGTAATGAGTGGCAAAAACTGCACAATTGGGATTATTTCTGTGATGCCAGGATAATGCATTCTTAATGCTGCGTAAGATATATATAAAAGACACTGGCACTTGTTGGGAAATATATATGTGATGTATGTCACAGCCCTTAATGTAATGTGCATAACTGCATGTTTATTGTAAATTAGCCCCACATTTAACATTTCCACATTTATGGTAGTTATTGCCAAAACTTTGTTATTTTTTTAGAGTTCAGTAATTGAACAAAAAAAAATATTTTAAGAAAGATGTAATCATCCATCATTTGCCATTGCATGCATTTATACTTATGGGAAAATCATGTATGAACTTGTCTCAAAATATTGTTTGACCAGCATGATATAGCACCAATATGGAAGTTTTGAACCTTTGTCCCTGTTTTGGGATGCCATGCCACTTGAACGTCACCGATGACATTTCTAGTATTATATCAACATAATTAAACATATTTTTCATATCACATCAGTTTTTGTTTTCATTTTTTTTGAGAATTTAAAAGAAAGCACTCCTGAGAGTGTTTGAGAGCATTGCCCATTGGGCTGTGTATTTATTATATACCATACCAGGCTAAGGCTACCTGTAACTTACCAAGGAATCTTGTTATCTTCTACAATATTTTGGTTGCTTGTGATCAGTTTCAAGGTAGTCAAAATGACTTTTATGAATAAAATATGCATTGATAGAACTTGTCTGTTGTTACCAAAAACAGTTGAAGGTTTTGTACCTTAGAATATTGCATTAAATTGGTCTTTGATTCAAGAAAATGTAGTAGAAAGCAATATTTATCAAGCTAATTCTGGGAATTTATATCCACTGCATAAGGACAGAAGATTATTTGTGATATTATCCAGAAACAATTGTAACAGTATATAAGTTTGTGACCTTGACCTTTGATCCTTCACCTCCAGTTTTAATTGGGGTCATGCAATAGACAGTATTAAAGTGACTGTTAAACCATTTCATTCCATATTTGAATTTGTGACCTGACCGTTCTCCTTTTGAACTCAAAATTAATAGAATTAAAGTCTTTAAACAATATTGAGTAATAACATAAAATTTCAGTGCAAAAGCTAAAGGTGTTTAGAAATATCATCTAAAACTAAAGTGTGGTAAGAGAGGAACTCTGTTGCTTTCAGGGCCAAAATGTCCTTGAAGACGGTGAATTGTGAATTATAAAGTATCATATTTGACTTTGGAGTCTCATACTTGCTACAGATATGCTAGATGGCCAGTGAAAAAAAAATGTTGTAGATACAATTATGAAAGACTACGAATTTCCCTTGCTGCAGAGTTGATTGATGGACAGAGATCCTCGCAGAGGAAGAAGCATGTCATTAGTAGGGTTAATTAGATCAAAAGTCAAGTTGAAGGTCAGGGACAAATTTGGTCAATAGTTTGACCATGTTGATTTAAAACTGATATATACTCGTAAAATATACTGGTAAGCATTTACTTAATTTTTATCCTTTGACTACATCATCCTTATGTTTGAGAACTATGACTTTGAGTCAGGTTCATGACTCACCAATGTAGGAAACTTTTATCAGGGACCTATATACTAAGTATATAGGTCCCTGCTTTTATATAATTGATATGTGATATTGAACGTTTCTTGTTGTATTTTGAGAGGCATTTTTGGAATATTACTTTCAACAAGTAGTAATTTTGTTTCTTTCTTTCTTTCTTTCATTTATTTCATTTTTTTAAATTTTATTTCATTAATATTATATACAATTTTCTAATTTATTTTTCTATTATTTATTTGTTTGATTTTTTGTAAATTCTATTTTATAGAGGGCGGAGCCCTCTCACGGGCCCGAAGGGCCCGTGAGAGCGAAGCTCTCCCTATAGGTAACACGTATGTATATAAAATATACAGAATTCTATTGAAAACTATATTTTTATTACAATACCTATGGAACTGAGAACCTTGTCGCCAATATGGCGTCCATAGTCTTTTCCATCTTGAATCTCGTGACGAATTCCCGCATAAACGAGATGTTTGTGAATCGTAACTTTAATTCCAATCCTGTGTTAATGAAGTGTAATCATTTCCAATAACCCCAAACACCCTTACAGTACATATCCTTGTTACTTTCGTTTTCGATTAACTCGAACTCAATCGTCATAAATCCGACATGTGACGTCATTCACTGACTGAATCAGCGGACACTGCCGACTTTTAACGACTTGCCATAATTGATATTTCATTTGCGTACTCTCTTTTTAATACGTGTTTATTCAACTACTCATAAAATCATACCAAAATTTTGAGGTACTTAATAATAAACTCGGTTTCAAGAATTTCTGTGACGTCACTGTCTAGACTGCGTACATGTAAACGCCGATATGCACTATGGAGGGGCGGATCTTTCTGTGGCCCCTTTCAACAAAAATCTTACAGCTTTAGGAAAATAAATCTTTGTTAATAAAGTATAATTATTACTAATGTCTTAAGGATTATTCTCCACACATAATCAAAATATGAGATTTTTGTGACCTACAAAGCCTATAATTTTCCTCTCAAGAATTAAAAAAAAATGTTTTAATGGTAAAATATTTTGGGAAATGGACTCAGAAGGGGAGGAGGTTTATTAGGAATTCGAATTATTTATCTAAGATTTTTTTTCTTCTGTTTTGGTTTTTTTTTTTCCTGATCGTTAATACATGTGTTTGTATAAACATTTGAAGGTATAGGGTCTGTCTTCATCGTATTTTTCTTTGTAGTTAATTCATGTTTTTTTTCATCTGTTTTATCATATTATTTTAATGTGAGATAATCTTTGATAGCACTCTCAGAGTCCCTGAAGCTTACCAACAAAAGAAATTGTTTTACAGGTCTGAAGCTCAAACTACCACAGATGACTGAAATATATTCAAAATTAGATATTTTGTCTGACCAAACACGTTCCATATATAGATAAATTTGAACAAAACAAAGATAGGGTTGACGATTTCAAATTGTTGTTTTAAAAAGTAATGAAATATAGAATGGAAAATTTATTCAACAAACTTGGACCCATAGTGGATTGCGTATTATGATCGTGTAAAATCAAAAGCTATACAGTCTACATGTGACTGTAAATAAATATATACAAACGTATATGATCTCTATTTTGCAGCAGTTAAATGGTATAATATACTTGTATAAACTTACACTGTGCTGCAAAAACATGTGACGGGCATTTTTACTTAAAAGTTTTCTATTCTGATGTTATCTTGGCTTAATGAAACAGCAAATACAGAAATCTTCATTTGATATTATCCATAGTAATCCATGTATATACACTGTAGGTCAATGTTATTTACTGAGCAGTATAAAAAAGATCTTATATTTTTAAAAAAATATTATTACAGCAAATATTCTAAAAATTAGGAAGTGTATGTCATCTTCTCATGAAATACAATATCCTTAAATTTTCTTTCCTTTCGTGAAATTCAACATATTATACTAGTATTTTTTCAAAATATGCCGATCCTTTTATTTATTGTGTGGACTGGATAGGGGTGTTAACAATTCATCAATACATAAAATAAGTACATGTATCAATATTCTCTTCGATACTTCCCAGAAATGTACAGTTCACAAGTTTGATTTAAAATTACAGAATTTGAATAAGTATGGCAAATTACACTAAAAGTTTTCTTTCTTCCAGAAATTAAAAAAAAAGAAGACTTTTACGTCGCTTTTATGTTAGAAAGTATTCAAGGCTATTTGAATCGTATTTGTTGAAAAAGAAATGCTGAAATACACATTTTTTTCTATTAAAATAAGAAAATAATTTAATAGGAAACTGATTAATTAATGTAAAATTTTGTCTTATCATATATATGCATTGTGATATTTTTTCTGGAATTTTGTCCTCGAGATACACAGCCATGGTATTGGTGAGGCTTCAAGTTCCCAATGTTCTGATAGCTCAGGAGGTAGCTCATCTGTCTGCACTTTTGGGTCCCAAGTTTGACTTCTGGTATGGTTCTTGAAAATTGTGCTTAGTTTTTATTTGATGTCATGACCATGCATTTGGAGTAACAGATGAGAATTAAGTGTCTGGATGTTTCTGGATTGGTGTCTATGTATAGTCGTGAAAGGTGAAGAAATGATGATCAGGCAGGTTTGTTCACTGTGTGATCGAAACATAGCTGGAAGAGTAACATTTTAGAGCTCTGCGGCCTGGGTCATTTGAATCCTGGTCTGGTACACGTTCTGCCTTCCTCCTATTTGGGTGTTCTGGCTAGACAAAATCTGAGTAAAGGGCTTTTAGACTTATTAAACCAAACACTCTTAAATTTCATTATATGAATGAGAAGTAAAAGTCTTAAAACTAAGAGAAAGGATTCTTTTTAAAATAAAAAAGATTGAATTCTTTATTGTACTTTTCTGACACAGATTATTAACGCATATTTTATTATCAATCAAATAAAATGTAGAGATGTTCTCTTCAAGGCTCCGCCCTCACAACGGTCGCACCGTCTTACATATTACTATTCTATTTCATTTTTATCAGTGTTAGTGGATATTTCATATTTTAATGTGTCATTTGTACGTCCGTATCGAAGGCCCAGGAAAAATATTTCTTTGCAGATTCTGCTTTTACCCAACTCTTTATCTTAAAGCGTCCGTGTGACGCTGATTGTATTCCTCCAGTGCCGCAAACATGAGTGCGAGATACGACCGAGCCATCACTGTATTTTCGCCGGATGGCCATCTCTTTCAAGTTGAATATGCACAAGAAGCTGTGAAAAAGGGATCTACAGCGGTAATTTGAACAGGAAGTCATACTTTGATTTCCACATCTTCTTTATGATTGAATAACAAATGTTTTGAATCTACAGAATATTGCTTTGTCATTACCGTGATTTTGTATGTATTTTGACATTGTCAAAATTTTGGCAGTTTGAAATTTCTGTACTGAAACGATTCATTAGTATTTTAAATGTATAACCTGTTTTATTATTAGTTTAATGGATTGTTTTTTAATTTTCAGGTTGGAGTAAGAGGGAATAATATTGTAGTGTTAGGGGTAGAGAAGAAAGCTGTAGCAAAATTACAAGAAGACAGGACTGTGAGAAAGATTGCTTTGTTGGATGATCATGTAGCTTTGGCATTTGCAGGTATGTTCAGTATTATATGTTTTACGGTGTGACCAATGGGGGCAAGCGCAGTTGTACCATCAAAATTCTTTACACAGCTAGCTTACACTTGTAATTTTGATCTACCTCTCCAAACTTCAACCTGCATGAGACATCTAGACTGTGATTGATGTCACATGACATCATATGTAAGCTGCATTTCCATTATGGTGTCTAAATAGACATAGTATAATTTTTATTTTGAAAGACGTAGTAGAGTAGATGCAATTAATTTTTTATACATTTATTAGTTTTAAGCTCTCAGGAAGACCTAAATCTTCACGATAACTGCAGGCCTGTTACATTCGCCATTATCGCATTGAATGCTAGTAGCAAAGGGATTCTGGGAAGGTTTCACAAAAATATTTGCTTGACAAATATACAGATTCAGTTCGAATTTTTCTGTTCTTACATGTTAGTCTATTGAGCTCGCTGTGCTTACTATTAAAGTTAAATATGTTTTTATTAGTTAAAGTGTTTGGATATTTAATGTTTCATATATTGAACTTACCATACAGTGTTAATGCAGATTACCAGAATTCTCTGCACATGATTTTATGTATTAACTAAATCATACATTAATAAAGTTACATGCAATTGTATCACTGCATTTGCTATATGACTTCTTCATATCATGATAATAGCATTTGTCATTTGTGTAGAATTTCAATTATCTATGTTGCTTTTGCTTATACAAGAATTCTTTTCGAAAGTCTTAATTTTCTATTTGGTGTATTTTCAAAGGATTGACAGCAGATGCAAGAATTTTGATCAACAGAGCTCGTGTTGAGTGTCAGAGTCACAAACTAACAGTAGAGGATCCCGTAACATTGGAGTACATTACACGATACATCGCACAACTCAAACAGGTATTCATTGGTTCAATAGAGTTCGAGTGAATAATTGACCCTAGAAACGCCAAGGGATGAAAAACCTTAAGTTTCTTTTGTGGCCTATAGTGATATTTGAATATCTTCACAGCCAAGAGCATAATTAACCCCCCTTTTTTTCTTTAAAAAATAAATTGAAACTGGTAGTTACATTAAAACCAGATTCATGGTTGTTTTCCTTTGCAGTTAGGTGAAAAAAGCAGGGTTCGACATTCACGCTCGTCACCTCGTCATTTCCACCCCTAATTGATTTTGGACGACCTGATTTTCAGTCTGGCTCGCCCAAATGACGACCTGGGACGTGGGAATTTTCAATAATGATATTTAATATTTAAAAATAAACTTTATAAGGCCTTGAAAACATTGTTTCCTGTAACCCAACCGACCCATTCAATTAGCAGCCGTGTGGATTTTTCTTTCTGCCAAATCTGTGTTTGATCAATCAGCTGATGTAACTTTTACCAAAAGTGTTAAATTAAGTTTTATTTGAGATATAAAATATGTAAACCTTGTCAACAATCACCATAAATATAAAGAGTAATGATCATTATTGTAACATTTAGTATCCCCCCCCCCCCCCCCCAACTTTCTGATGTTAGTTTTCTGCTGCTAGACAGCCATGTTGGGTGTCCACTGTAAACATCACACCTGGTTAATTCAGTCCAGGGATGTTTGACCCCTTTTGTTTATTAAGGCCTTTTTGGTAAGTGAAAATGAATGTTTTTAAACTAGAAACTTTTTATTTTGTGTCAATATGTGAGGTGAGATTGTATATTAGCAAAAAATAAATAAATAAATAAAATCCCATCCTACCAACCCTTGATTTATTGGGAATATTATACATGAAACAAACATAATTTTTTAAAAGCCTATTAATTAGCATTCTGATTCTGCTTATTAATATTTGTTGCTTGTTTTCTTTGTTTGATAATATACTGGAAGACAGCTTTTGATATTCCAAAAACATTTGATTTACATTTTATAATAGCACAACCTCTCTTATCTTAACAATTTTAAACAATTGTACATTTTTGTTTCTTTTGATATTTTGTTCAGGCGACCTGAAATTCATTCGGGCAACCTGAAATCAGTACCAAGGTTGCCCAAATGGCGAGACCAAATTTTACCGAGTGTCGAACCCTGAAAAAGTAACCTGTCTCATTTTATCAAAATCTTGATCCACTTACAATATAAAGGAGGAATAAGATACAAGAAAGAGGTGCATTACTTTTAAATTTTAAGGTTCATCATCATAAATTTTTGTCTTAACACTATGAATTTCCAAAAAGAAATCTAAGTTATAAATAAAATGCACACAATTTCATTTTCAGCATATCTTGCACAGGCATGGATTCAGGAATTTTTACCAGGGGGGGGTCCACCACGGTAAAAAAAAAAAAATTCCAACGTAGAAAATTCTCGACAAGCAAAAAACAAAAACATAAAACGTAAACTCCTTTCCCAAACAGGTTGGGCATGTGTCTGTGCGTGTGTGTGTGTGGGGGGGGGGTCGTTGACTTCCAAAGCTATATACCTATGACTTTTTATACCAACTTTACACATGATCGCCATTTTTGAGGGGAGTCCATGTTTTCTAGGGTGGGTCCAAGGTCACTTTTAACTGGTTTAGTATATACATTTAATAACTCTGCAAACTCCAGGGGGTCCGAACCGCCCCACCTCCACCTCCCCTCCAGATCCGCGCATTGTCTGCAGGTGAAAATTTGACAGGAATTGCAATTTTCTAAAGGAATGTTAGCCAATTATGATATTTTCCCAGTGAGAGTTTTCTCTCTTATCAGAAGGGCAATGAATCTTAAGATATACAACTTTTTTTTAAATATAAATTACTCCTCTTTGAAGCTAAAATGTGTTATTACATAACATGGGATAATAAAATCTTACTAACTCAAGTAGGGGCAATATAATAAAGATGAAAAGAAGCAAAGCCACAATACTTTCTTGGTTTACAAAGGTCATTGTTTTACAGTCATCATCTTTTTGAAAAATGTATTAAAAAACTATTTGAATTGTAGAAATACACCCAAAGCAATGGAAGGAGGCCTTTTGGATTATCAGCTCTCATTATAGGATTTGATTATGATGGTACACCACACCTATACCAGACAGACCCATCAGGGACCTATCACGAGTGGAAGGTATGTATTGATATCAGTCATTATACCCCAATTCTGGAGGGATAGATGAGGGTTTTATATATGTGAATCCATCTGTTGACTTTTTTCTCAGAAACAACTTTCAAACAAGAAATCAGAATTTATACACGTCATACTTTGCTATATGTATATACCTAAATATTTACCTTGTTGTCCAACACATCTCTTGTCAAACTTTTGAATATGTATCCATAATGCAGTTGAATTTCAGTATCTCGAACATTGATATTTCAAATACCATGAATATGTTGAAAGGAGTTGGAAGTTCCAAACACTTTATCTAACAGTTGAACTTTGGTATCTCGAACACTGATATCTCGAACACCATGGGTATGGCGAAGTGATTTGGAAGTCCCAACCGCTTGTTCTTTAAGTATTTTACCCTTGATATCTCGAATCCTCTGATATTTCAAAGTTTTTTCTTGGTCCCATTGAGTTTGAGATAATGAGGTTTGACTGTATTTTTTTTACCTTGATATCTTGAACTCTCGGATATCTCAGTTTTTTTCTCGGTCCCACTTAGTTCAAGATAATTTGTAATTGTACAAAATTCATGTTTTGGATATGTGTGCAATTTTTGTGTCAACATATATGATTTTTTAATATTTGGTACAAATCTTTCCATATGAAAGTAATATTTTATTATGCATGGTTACAGATCTCTTGTTTTCTATTTCACCTCTCTGTGTTATCTTTATGGTGACACACATATCAGATCCTCCAAAGATTTACTTCCTTTTATATGTAGAAAAAATGTTTGAGGAAAGGCAGGATATAAAGATGTTTGTTGGGCAACAGTTCACCAGAAATTCCACCCCACCCCAGTCCTTCCCTCCAAACAAATTTGAAAAAAAAATTCTTATTTGCAAAGACAGTGGTGAATATCGACACTGTCAGCATAAATATCAATTCTGTAAATCTAAACTCATTTCTGTTTTCCCCACTATACCTTAACTCAAGGGTAGAGTTAAACAGAACACTAAATTAATGATGATTTTATTTATCTTAGGCTAATGCCATTGGTAGAAGTGCTAAACCAGTGCGAGAATTTTTGGAGAAGAGTTATACGGATGAAGTAGCGGGGAATCAGGAGGAATGTATAAAGCTGGCACTGAAAGCTTTACTAGAAGTCGTCCAGTCTGGTGCCAAAAATGTCGAGTTAGCTGTGATGAGGGACAAGGAACCATTAAAAGTGAGTACATTGTAGTATTTTATCTAAGTCAGAATTTTTTTTTAATTACAGTTTAACTTCAGTATCTCGAACACTGATATCTTGAATACCTTGGATATCCCAAAGTGATTTGGAAGTCTCTACCCCTTGTTCTTTAAGTATTTTACCGTAGATATTTCGAATCCCCAGATATCTCGGAAGTTTTTTTCTCATTCCCATTGAGTTCAAGATAAAACGAGGTTTGACTGTAGTTTGTTTCTGATGTAGTGGCACATGGTACATGTATACCTTAAATCTTAATACAATTTCCCTATATTATTCTAGTTTATGTGTACAGTTTTTGTAATACCCTGGCTGTACTTATAAAATATACAAATATGATTTCATTTTCAGATGCTAGAATTAGAGGAAGTTGAGAAATATATTGCAGAAATAGAAAAAGAGAAAGAAGAAGAAGCAGAGAAAAAGAAACAGAAGAAATAGTGACTAGTGAATTTTATTACATGTCTCCTGTGTCTAATTGTCAGTGCTAATTTGTTAGATCACATCTCATGTCATTAAATAACTCTACAATGGAAAATTGTTGTTTAATCCTTTTTTTCTGAGGTAAGAATGTTGCCTCTTTTTAATTTAAGGAAGCTCTAAACAATAAAGATTTTTTTTTTGACTTTGAGAAAATTGTTTGATATAAAGGTGTACATATTGAGTTTATCTAGTTCATTTTCAACATTATGGGACCTGCCATAGGAAAAATGTTCAAAGACAATGAAATACTAGTGAACAGATATCACCGTGTTTACATACATTGGGAAAATATGTGCAAATAATGTTTTCAATTACTTTATCTTGGTCTCATTCTGTAAATTTCCATTTATTTCATTTTACATCAAAGGGCAGATCACTCTAATTGCATAAAACTACCATGGAATTGGAAACCTTCAGTAAGCGGAGTATAGAGAGCTTCCTTAAGCAAGGACAAATTAACACTGTCCTGAGGGCATGATCAGGGTGTAGTATGGATTGCTAAATTTTTGGATGTGTACATATCAGACTTGCTTCAGATACTGCATTTGACCTACATCTATATTTTCTCAATGAATGATGGAGTTTTTAGGTCTGGTCCATTCTAAGGAACCTGGAGAACCTACATTGGCCTTGCTTGCATGGAGGATATGTCTAGGTTACAAATGATGTATATAAAGTTAGACTGTGTTTGCATAATGTCAAAAAAAATAATGAACATACTCTAAATTCATTCTTTCTTTAGATATCTCGATTTGAAAGAGGGCTTTTAAAAACAAGAATTCTACCCACTGATTTCTTCTGCCAAGTTTGATTGAAAGTGGTGCATGTGGTTCTGGGCAATGTATAAAGAACAACATCACAGGGCGCTTGAATGTCTAAAATTAAGGATGTTAAAAGGTTTTTTAGCTCACCTGAGCCGAAGGTTCAAGTGAGCTTTTCTGATCACATTTTGTCTGTAGTCGGTCTGTAAACTTTTCACATTTTCGACTTCTTCTCAAGAACCACTGGGCCAGTTTCAACCAAACTTGCCACAATGTATCCTTAAGTGAAGGGGATACAAGTTTGTTCAAATGAAGGGCCACGCCCTCTTTCAAGGGGAGATAATAAAGAATTAGTGAAAAATTAATAGCATCTTTCAAAATCTTCTTCTCAAGAACCACAAAGCCAGGAAAGATGAAACTCATGTGGAATCATCCTCAGGTAGTGTTGATTCAAGTTTGTTCAAATCATGACCCCCGGGGGTAGGGCGGGGCTACAATGGAGGATCAAAGTTTTACATAGAAATATAAGGGAAAAAACTTTAAAAATCAAAGCCATGATGAGTCATATTTATATGGAAGCATCCTCAGGTAATGTAGATTCAAGTTTGTTCAAATCATGACTCCCGGGGGTAGGGCGGGGCCACAATGGAGGATCAAAGTTTTACATAGAAATATATAGGAAAAATCTTTAAAAATCTTCTTCTCAAGAACAACAAAGCCCTAATTGGTCATATTTATATGGAAGCATCCTCAGGTAGTGTAGATTCAAGTTTGTTCAAATCATGACCCCCGGGGTAGGGCAGGGCCACAATGGAGGATCAAAGTTTTACATAGAAATATAAGGGAAAAAACTTTAAAAATCTTCTTCTCAAGAGCAACAAAGCCCTTATTGGTCATATTTATATTCAAGCATACTCAGGTAGTGTAGATTCAAATTTATTCAAATCAAGACATGACCCCCGGGGGTAGGGTGGGGCCACAATGGAGGATCAAAGTTTTACATAGAAATGTATAGGAAAAATCTTTAAAAATCTTCTTCTCAGGAACAGCAAAGCCCTGATTGATCATGTTTATGTGGAAGTATCCTCAGGTAGTGTAGATTCAAGTTTGTTCAAATCATGACCCCCTGGGGTAGAGGATCAAAGTTGTAAATAGAAATATATAGGAAAATATCTTCTGATGAAGAACTCCAAAGCCATGATTAGTCATTTTGATATGGAAGCATCCTCAGGAAGTGTATAGATTCAAGTTTGTTAAAATGATGACCCCCGGGTATTGGGATGCATGGGCCATAATAGGGGATTGAAAATTTTACATAGGAACATATAGGAAAATATCTTCTTCTCAAGAACTGAAAATCATGTTTAGTCTTTTTGATATGGAAGCATCCTCAGGTTATGTAAATTCAATTTTGTTCAAATTATGACCCCCGGGGGTAGGGTGGGGCCCAATGGGGGGTCGAAAGTTTTCCGTAAGAACATATAGAAAAAATATTTCTTCTCAAGAACAGAAAAGCTATGTTTAGTCATATTGATATGGAAACATCCTCAGGTAGTGTAAATTCAAGTTTGTTCAAATGATGACCTCTGGGATAGGGAGGAGCCACAATGGGGGATCAAATTTTTACAAAGGAATATATGGGAAAAAATTTTTAAAATCTCAAGTACAACAAAGCCATTTGTTATATATGATTGGAAGCATCATCAGGTAGTTTAAAATTCTCGGGATGGGGGGGGGGGGGGAGGGGGGGATTCATGATTTGAACAAATTTAAATCTACATTACTTGAGGATGCTTTAATATTATTATGACCAATCATGGCTTTGTTGTTCTTGTGAAGAATTTTAAAGATTTTTCCTCTGTATTCCTATGTAAAACTTTGATCTCCCATTGTGGCCCCACCCTACCCATCAGGATTTAAACAAACTTGAATCTACACTACTTGAGGATGCTTCCATATAGATATGACCAATTATGGGTTCGCTGTTCTTGAGAAGATTTTTAAAGATTTTCCCTATGTATTCCTATGTAAAATTTTGATCACCCATTGTGGTCCACCCTACCCCCGGGGGTCATGATTTGAACAAATTTAAATCTTCACTACCTGAGGGTGCTTTCATATAAATATGACCAATCATGGCTTTGCTGTTCTTGAGAAGAAGATTTTTAAAGATTGTTCTTATGTATTCCCATGTAAAACTTCGATCGCCCATTGTTGCCCCACCCTTCCCCCGGGAGTCATGATTTGAACAAATTTGAATTTACACTACCTCACAATGATTCCACATAAGTTTCATGTTTTCAAGCACAGTGGTTCTTGAGAAGAAAATTTTTAAATGCCATTAATTTTTCACAAAATCATAATTATCTCCCCTTGGAAGAAGGCGTGGCCCATCATTTGAACAAACTAGAATCCTCTTTACCTAAGGATACTTTGTGGCAAGTTTGGTTGAAATTGGCCCAGTGGTTCTTGAGAAGAAGATGAAAATGTGAAAAGTTAACGACGACCGACAACAGACAAATTTCTATCAGAAAAGCTCACTTGAGCCTTCGGCTCAGGTGAGCTAAAAACAATCAATGCTACAAAGAATCAGCCTAAAGTTAAGTAAAAATAAAAGATAAGATTATCAGAGATCAAACCAAATAATTTATTACCAGTTAAAACCCTTAATAAATATGTACATGTACTGTACATACAAATCAAGTTCAAAGGTGGTTGTTGAAAGCAGGGCAATTTGTTCAATTTATACAAGTATTTTGTTAATCAAAGTTGTAAATATTTTTTTAAACACATGCAGAATACAGTAGATTATACATATGTACTTTGCCATTTAAACAGGCTTTACAGAACTGCATAATATTCACTTTACCCACATACATGCTTCAGTCAAATAAATTTTTTCTCACTCTGTGCATGATTACAAACACAAGGAAATTTCAAAATTACAATCCATAAACTTCTGAATACATTTCCATTTTTCCATACCACACCACCACATGAGGAGTGTCTTTCTTGCTGATCTGACAATGAAGGGTCAGTGGAGCATCCCCCTCCCATGTCTCAGAGACCAAACTGTCCCCCCAACAACTGGGGGAGACGTATAGCATGGTAACCTTCTTTATGTGAAAATCATGAAAACTAGTCTTGATTTTCTTATAGAAACCTCGCTGAGAAGCAATGCTAGAATTTTCCACAAAGTATCTGAGATATGAGGCACATCTTGTGTGATCAGAAAAGTCTGTGTCATGACTAGGCACTGCAAACTCATGGCGGAAAGTGCTCAATGGCTTGAACGCTGGCTCTACATTCATCAGAGAAGTCTGTTTGTTTTCCTCTAGCATGGATTCAAACTCATTTTTCCACCAGTGAGGCAAAGCAACTTTCTTTCTCTCCCCTATATTCACCAAAGTGTGAAGGTTCTTTATTCGGATGGAGGGTTTTAAATCCCCGCCACAGGCCACTTCGCTGACCGTGGAAAATGAAGAATCTCCTACTCCTACCAATTTTATGGAAACATCCAGTGGGGTTTTTGGAGTAGTAGTCTCATAAAAGGTGCTTTTTGCTTCATATTTGCAAGCTTTGACAAAGGAGATGTGTCTTGATTTGTACAGTTTATCGTAATTTAGAAAGGATTCCTCATTGAAGAAGGCAGCATTTTCAATTCTGTTGACCATGTCAAATATTCTCCAAGTGTCAGGCTGACCTAAAGAAAAGAATAGATCTGATAGCAGCTATTTTTATCTGTGACACAGAATTTTCATTTCCATACTTATTTTCCGTATGTTTAGTAAGGATTGAATCCCTTCCCTTTACTCTTGACAAGAATGCAAATATGATGCCTATAAAACCTTGCAAAACTTTACTAAGTGCAGATTTTCTATATCAAAAGAGACTTGCATCATTTAATCTCTACACTGTAAACTACAGCTAAACTTTGTTATCTCAAACTTTGAAATCTCAAATACCATGAATAGGTTGAATTGACTTATAAGTAAGGCCCCAACAGCTTTTTCTTTATGTCTTTATCCTATATCTCAAATCATCAGAGATCTCAAAGTTTTTTCTCAGTCCCATTGGGTTTGAGATAACTAGGTTTGACTGTATATTTTTTTCATTAATGTTCAGAAGTTTGAAGCTCATTTTTCCTCAAATCAGATAGAAAATTAACATTCTTCCGAGACTATATATTCTTCCCCAAAACATTGCTAATGTTAAATTTGACTTTGGGATCTACAGGGCTTTCAAAAAGACAGTCTTTTAAAGACTAGAAACAGGTGGTACTTTTTCATAAACAGGAGGTACCTTCTGGAAGCCAGCTTAATTAAATATGATATCAAATTTTTCTCCAAAAACTATTTTGGCAGGTACAATCATAGTTTCAGCCGGGTAAAAGTACCAGGTACTGGCACATTTTGAAAGGCCTGGACGTACTATCATCTTACATCTTAGTAATACATTGAAATAACATACCTGTGAAATCGATATCATCATACCGCAGGCCTGGCATTACAACGTCTACTTCATTTCTCCCTGCATTTACATTTATCTTCAGCTTCAGGGATGGATAAGCCCTGAAGAGAAACAAAAGATTGTTGATTATCATTCACTATATTATGCCCTACCATTTCAATAAAATTTTATTGTATCCATGTAAGTTTACTTCAGAATAACTGTCTAGGTTTGAGGTTTATGAGGATTTTGGTGCACATGAGCAAGTGGTAATTCACATAACCACCAAAGGTGTTTATGCATAAATTACCATGTGCTTCAATTTAAATATAATCCAATATACTCCAAAAACCTGGACAGATTTTTTCTTTTTCATTTTCTAAGCTATAAGAAACAACTATAATGCCAAGATTGAATAAAACATCATGCATTTATAGTTTGCAGAATACAAGGTGACTGTGACATTGATATATAATACTGTATAAGGGATTAATTTCACGGGTTGTAATTTTCACGTTTTTCTCTCCTCTGACACAATCGCGGTTTGTTGAATTCGCGGAATCGGTACATGTATATAATAAAGTTACCTCCCTTGTTTATATCCGTTTAATCCATAGCATAGCTAGAACGACATAATCAGCGTTATTTATTCACTTCACAGGGTATGTTTATATAAAATAGTTAGATTTAATAATCAATTAGTTATTAAAAGTCCTTGACTATAAACGTCGAGTGACTATTATGACACCCCAAGATCTTAATACATCGCGGCAAAAAAACAACTGGACAGCTGCTAGACGGTAAGAAATTGTTAATGTAGGTCGACGAAATAATATCCTTCCACATCTTCAGCAAGTTCGATATTATTTGAATGATTTTTTAAAACTAAAATGTCGATAAAAACATACGTATGATAGTGTAGGTAACAAATACTCGTGGTAACATAGTTACGCGCGGGTAATCAAAACCCATGACCCACGTGTTTTGATTGATGAAACATGTAGCGTTAGCTATTAAAACAGCTTTTTAACAAATACAGGTTATTATCTGATGATCTAAATTAAAGTAAAGCGTGATAATTAAAATTATTGAATGACAAGTGTGACTCGTAATTACTGAAATGACCATGTACTACACGTATCGTAGTCTATTCTTAAATATCCAAATATAGAATGGAGGTTATTGAAAACTTATTCACTGTTTCTTGAATTCACGGATTTATTAACACCGTGAATATAGCAAATATTAACACCGTGAGTTATTTTCCCCCTATACAGTATATTCATCAGTTTATAAACACTTTTAGATTCAAAGAGTTTATTAAGTACATTGTACTGTTTTTATATCATCAAAGTCCAGAAAAGGGGTAAATTAATGCAATGGAATGAATGGGATGACAATTTGATTTTCATAGATTTGTAATGGTTTGGGCCTGGATTGGTTTGGGCCTGGATATCGGTCTGGGTAGCTCAGTCAATAGAGCACCTGACTAGTGATGCAAGGGTCCTGGGTTCGATTTCCGGTCCAGCCACATTGTCTCCTTTCCTGTTACAGATTTGGTGCTGTTGACCACCCCTGGACTTGCAAGTCCTGCCAGGGGCTAATAAAAACTTGGGTTGTGTCTTCGAGGACGAAGATTCAATTTAAGAAGGGAGGAATGTACTGGTTTGGGTCGTGGATATCGGTAGAGCACCTGTTTAGTGATGCTGTTTGCAGGGGTCATGGGTTCGATTCCCTGTCCAGCCTTTCATGTTACTGATTTATTTACTAGGCCCATTCATATCAGTTTTTATCGCTGGATATTTATTATACATACTCTTATCTATTAAATTAAACTGCACAAATACCTCTACCAAGTTCCAAACAAACATCATATTTTAGAGAAAGAAAAGCCATTGTTAGGTTACGTTCAAAGAATCACTAGAGGAAATTCGGAACAAAATTATGTTTTACTCAAAATTGACCATATAATTACATATCTTTGTGCAGCTATTAGAATTATTACAATATCAATACAAATCATTGATAAAATACTTCATCTAGTACCTCAGAAAGCGTTTGATTGATTTGTAAAACAACTTCATGTTTTCTGCGTTCCTCAGGCTCACTGCATCGTGCTGACCCTACTCTTCATATTGAATGGCGCCAAAATTTAAAATGGAAAACACAAATTTAAATATTGTAATCTCCTTTTTCTTATTTGGAGCAGTATAACGATTGTTTTGTCAAAACTTTATTCGAGAAAAAAGACATAGCGTTGTCTGTCAGTTTTGCTTTGTTGTATGTGACCTTGACCTCTTCTTAAAAGTTTTGTGAGTGATCATGAGTTAGGCTAGAACTTTGAAAACAAAAACCATTAGGCCTACAGGATTATGGTTTTTGACAGAACAGATCAAAGCATTATCATATGACAATGTAAGTCAAATAAAATAAATTTTTTGTACCAATTTGACCTCACATAATCTTTACCTTTGATCTCTTGAGTAAAATTTTTATTTCTTTCATTATAAGTATCCTTGGCTTATGGAGTGCAAAACTATGAGGTGCCATTTTGGTATTTACTGCCAAAAAGTGATATCACCTATTCGAATAGGTGATATCACCTATTCAATTGGTGATATCACCTATTCGAATAAGTGATATCACCTATTCAGCTTCTGAATAGGTGATATATCACCTATTCAAATAGGTGATATCACCTATTCGAATAAGTGATATCACCTATTTGAATAGGTGATATCACCTATTTGAATAGGTGATATCACCTATTTGATTTGAATTGGTGATATCACCTATTCGAATAGGTGATATCACCTATTCATTTCGAATAGGTGATATCACCTATTCGAATAAGTGATATCACCTTTTCAATTTGAATGAGTGATATCACTTATTCAAATAGGTGATATCACTTTTTGGCAACAAATACCAAAACGGCACCTCATACAAAACTAACATGAACTCAAAGAATTCTTAATTATGCTGCATATTATTTCAATTATAGATATCATTCAATAATTTGCTGAATTGATGTGCCAAAATAATTGCATTGTTGTTTTGTTTTTGTTTTTTTCATTTTGAATTAATTCAATGAAATAATGATACAATTTATTTAATTGAAGAAAGCAATAATTTAATTAATATATCAATTAAATAACTAAATTATTGCTTTCTTCAATTGAATTTTAAATTAAATTATTAATTTAATAAGTGCCTACAACAATTCTAGCACTGGGAGAGGAACTATTTAATTAGTGATATCTTTAATACAACTGTAATGGTTTGGGCCCTAGATATCGGCCTGGATAGCTCAGTCAATTATAAGAGCACCTGACTAGAGATGCAGGTGTCCTAGGTTCGATTCCCGGTCAAGTCATTCATTTTTCTCCTTTCCTGTTACATAATTTGGTGCCAGACTGACTTAACCGAACTTGCAGGTGAAAGTCCTGTTAGGGCCAATAAGAACCTATGCTGTATCTTTGAGGGCCTAGACAATTTAGGAGGGAGGAATGTAATGGTTTGGGCTGTAGATATCGGCCTGGATAACTCAGTTGGTAGAGCACCTAACTAGTGATGTAGGGGTCCCAGGTTCGATTCCTGGTTCCATAAATTTTCTCCTTTCCTGTTACACAAAGTTTACATAATTAAAATTTTAGAATATACATGTACAATGATATCTTTAATTGAACTGTTGGTCTCTTGAAAAGAATTGATGTTTGCATGCATTAATTCTCTAACAAAATAATTGTAAAATGATTAAAGATACATGATTGTATATTCAATTGAATTCAAGAGATGAACAAAGCACTTATACTGAGGTCTAAATGAATTGATGATAGCTATAATTGATTCCATACATATGTGCATTGAAATCTTCAAATAATTAAAAACATCTTCAATTATCCGAGTTTATGTTTATTTGGTGCTCCATATTAGCTTAATACATACTATTAAGAGATTTATCTTTAAGTATGATAGCTGTGTCATTATTGATCATCATTTTGGGGATATCAAATGACTATCCCATTCAAATCATTAGTCTATTTGGCAAGACTGGAGGCTTGCATGAACCAGAACTGTTTCATTAATTACAATAAACTACCCTTTTGGCATGTGCTTGGTTTAATTGGCTTGTCTTCAAATCTTTATATAACTCTTCCAAATTCATGCATGGATCAGAAATCTGTATTGCACTCATGGAGGCAAGTTTGATCGCCCTTGTACATAGCCAGACAGCTCTGTTGGTAGAATGCTAAATATTTAAATAACAGAGAAAATGTGACAAATCCCACACAATGACTCATGTGCTTTACCAACAATGTAATCTCTCAGTTTTAGGCCTATAAACACAAGTCTAATATGATAAGTCTTTAAATTTTTGTGAAAAATAACAAAGCTAGTCATAAGAAAAACTTTTTTATCACTAGTTCTTTCTTCAAATCTATGTCACATGATGAGTATGTGTTATTTGCTGTCCTATAATAATTTCAAATATCAGTTAAGTAGTTTACAAAGAGTCAGCTTGATAATGTTTGTTCATAGTACTTTTCACAATCTTGACTGTGGGTCAGATCAATCATGCAAAAGAAATTAAAACAAGTAATTGAAATATATTAAACCATTTAAGATTTACTGCTCTCTACATTCAGTATGGTATGGCATCACTAAAAATCCCCCCTTCTACCCCCCCCCCCCTTCAAAAAAATCTTATAAAATAAAACCAATCATGGTTCACAAATCATTAGAAATAATGACCACATACTGATGTTACCTGTCATTCTTTCAGACTGTACACATTAACATTATTATCAAAGCCTACATGTAATATAAATTAATTATAAATTAATTAAGTAATAAAATAAATTAATTTAGTAATTCACAGCCATTGTCTTTTAAAATAAAATATGGCAGATATAGCTGTTGACTAGCAGCAAAACATTAATAAACAGTAGCATGTAAAGGTACATTAAAGTCAGAGTCATGTTTTTTACATTAGTCACTAAGGGGGCTGTACTAGTACATCCATGTCTTCCGATTTATTTTCTCATTTCCTGAAATTAACATCCTATTCTGAGATTATGACTTCCTCCCTAACATGGCAGAAATTCTTCTTCTGGTTGTTTCCAGTGAGTTCCCTTTAAATTTGCCCGCTGGTTTAGCCTGTTCCCCTTGGTAGGACACCGTACTACCACTGCCCACTGTAAGCTCCCGCACTGGACCTTTGGGAGGAGACGGGAAAAGTTTGTTTTCAATTTCCTGAGGGGACTTGCGTTCAACCTCTTTTGGCTGTGAGGGACCAGAGGAGGTATTGGAGGATAAAGAAGCACTGCTTTTGGCTGTTGAATGACGAGAAGAGCTGACTGAACTGTAGCCACCTATAGGAGAGGAAAATAAATCATATATACAGTGGAATAAGTTTATAGATATCATGATTTTTTGTAATTAACCTGTTTATTTAAATTTTATCAAGTAGTACAAACTAATGAAATTTTTAATGGATACAATGTATTACATCTCAAACATTGAAAACTGAATGACGAGAATGTGCTGAAGTGAATTGATGGTCCCAACTATAACAAATTTTTAAGTCTCAACTTTGATATCTTGAACTGTCAGTCAGTCCCTTTAATTTCCAGATATCAAGGTTTGACTGTATTTTACTAAGATATTTCACATAAACACTTAAATCAGGAAATAAAGATTAATGGCACTGCTAATGAATGGTGATGTAAACAAAGATATATATATTTATTTCATAGGAAAATTTTCCCAGTAGAAATATGATATGGTAGATGAGGATAAGGCACTAAATCAAATGGCCTTAAATAATTTAAGATATGGCAGTAAATACTGAGATGATCATTTACCTGATGGTTTCTTAAGCTGTAATAACTCTTCTTTAACTTCACTTAATTTCTCTGTCAGTTCAAATCTCTCTTCACATTCTTTCCTTACTGTGTCTTGAAGAAATATAACCTGAAAAATTACGCAACGAAGTTCAGTAATTCTCTAATTTGAGTATAATTTATGTTTGGTATGATACATAAAATATATCAACATTTAAGTCAATATAAAATAAATATCAACATTTAAGTTGACAAAAAAGATATATCAACATTTAGTGGTTACCAGCTAGCTTTCTTGGCGTTTCTCTAAGGATTTATTGACATTTATGTGTCTTATGAAAGAAAATATTCATGTAAAAAATACAGTTACTGGTTCATAATATACAACATGTTCATACCTCTTGTTTCACAGTATGAACCTGTTCCTCCTTGTTCAGTAGCTCTTGTTTGGACTGTTCTAGTTCCTCGTGGGTTTCCTTTAACTGGTCCTTCAGTTTCTGTATCATGTCTTCATTTCCAGAATCCAGTCGAGCTTTAAACAAAAAGATTTACAACTGTTATAATTATCAATGGCAGAAAATATGAAAAAAATGTCCTTATATAAACTTCTTAAAAAAAAATACATGTATATGCTTATACAGTGTACATTTTTTTTTCATTGAATGCCGTGCTTATACATTTTAAAATCATGAATCAAATTACTAATGCAATGAAATTTCAACAATGTATCAACAAAAAAAATCCTGACATTGAAAGACAAACTCCTATTCTTATCAGTAGTTTTAGCCAATAGTTTAATTGTTCAGGATTTGCTACTGCTGTTTGAGAGCTACAGCAGGTGTGAAAACCTTAGATTTAATTTGAACAGACACAACCTACTGTCAAATCACTAATTTTCGTGGGTTTTTTTTTTTTGTTATTTTTGAGGTATGAAGAGACCCACAAATTCATGTCTACCATGAAATGTAAATTTCATATATATTAATACTCAGCAATTCTTTATCCACAAAATCAGATCCCCACAAACCCATATTATTTCCTAAAACCATGAAAATTTGAACCCACTAAAATATATGATTTAAATTTTACAGTATATCTTGTTCTTTCAAGATGAAGCAAATAATGACATATACACTGTCACAATAAATTTACCTAGTCGGTCTTCCAGGTCCTTGATGATTAATTTTAAACTGCCCACTTCCTTTCTCAGAGAATCCTCGGTATCTTTGGCTCGGAGTTTTGAGTCTGTCAGAATCTGCTGAAGCTCCTT